CAAGCTCCGTCGGAAGGTTAATCCCCCCCCCCCCTCCCTTGATTCTTAGGCTTACGCCACACCGCCGACCCCTTGTTTATGCCAATCTGGGGGTAGTAGAAGCTGCGAAGGGGTGAAAAGCGAGTTTTGGAGCCACTTGGGGGCCGTTTCGGAGCCTCTGGGGTGCTTCTTGGGGGTTCCTTGGGGCGTCTGGGCGGCCTCGTGAGGGCCTCTGGGGGCCTCTTGGGGCACTCTTGGGGCCCCCTGGGGCTCCTGGGGGCAGAAAGCTAGAGTTTCAACATGTTTGGTCGCCCTCTTGGGCCCCTCTTGGTGCCGTCTTGGAGCCCTCTTGGGCCGTCTTGGGGACCTCTTGGGCCGTGTTGGGGCCGTCTTGGGCCGTCTGGAGGCCGTCTTGGGGGCCTCTTGGGCCATCTTGGGGCTTTCTTGGGGGCCTCTTTGGCCGTCTTGGAGCGTCGGGAAGCCGAAAAGGCGGAAAAGCAAAAAACATAGAAAAACACAATGGAAAATCAACAATTTTAGACTCTTGGGGTCCTCTTGGGAGGCTTGTTTGGGACCTCGGGGGCCGTCTTGGAGACCTCTTGGCCCGTCTTGGGGCCATCTTGGGCGTCTTGGAGCGGTCGTTTGGCGTCTCGGGGCCTTCGTGGGCCGTCTTGGAGGCCTCTTGGGGGCTTCTTGGCCCGTCTTGAGGCCCTCTTGGGCCCGGAAAAGCCCCGTGAACCGCTCGTCCCGGCCGTGCTGCGCTCGTGCCGGACCCCCCCCCCCCCTCCAAATCGACCGGACCGGGCTCCCGGGGGAGGGGTTTGGGGAGGGGGAAGCATCTCACACGCCGATGATCCCCAAGGGGTCGGCGGATAAATACTCCACCCAGAGTGTGCAGCCCCGTGTTCACAGCCTCGCGAGGCGGCGCCCATCACTGCGCATCGAGCCCCACCCTCTCCCTCTCCCTCTCCCTGCCCCGCTGCCGCCCTGAACCCCCCCCCTTCGCCGCCTGCAACCTCGGGCGAGCACGACCGCGCGGACCTCCGCGAGCACTCTGCTCACGCAGAGTCGCCACTGTGCCCCAGCTCTTCCAACCTTACAGAAGAACGAACACCATAAACATAAACTCTGTGCGCTCCGAGCAGATCTCTTGGATCTGCGCTGGGACCCCCCAGCGGCGCCTCCGGCGCCGCCCCTGGCGCGCTCCGCGCGCCAGGGAGGGGGGTCCAGCGCAGACCCAAGAAATCCGCGCGGAGCGCCACAAGTTTATGATTATGCCGTTTTTCTTCTTCTGACTTGTTTTTTTTATTCGGCGTGCGGCGCCTGCAGCCCGCGTGGGCCACCGCGGAGATCGTCGCGCCCTGGTACGTGGGGCAATGCAGTGTCCGTTCGCCCCTCGCCTGTTCTTCTGTCACGCCCCGTCGGTTTTGACAAGCTGTCCCTGGCTGCGTCGGACCGTTGATACAAGAACCTCCTGGCACCCCCGAAAACGTCCGAAGAGACCACGCCGACGACTGACGGCCATCGCTCCTCCAACCTCAATCGGGACCACCGCCCTCGACTCTCGACCCTCGATCCTCGATCCGCGACCCTCCGTCTTCCATCATGGATCCATCTTCTCGGGCCGGACGAAAGGGGGGGATTGGGAACGGGGGGGTTACGAAATATGCTGCATGCGGCTGGTTTCGGCGCCCCACCGCCGCGCCCATTCCTCGATGCATTTGCGCCTCCCGGCGCCGGGAGGCGCCGGGAAAATCAGCTACGTGAGCTGATTCTCGAGCCCCCCTGTTCTGGTTGACCCAAACGAGGGTCCAGCGATAAGGAGGTGGTGCAATAGATTTGGTGCAATAGGTTTTTGGGGTTGCAATGGATGTGGGGGCGTGCAATACATTCCAGTGCGCAAATGTATTGCTGGGGTGTCGTGTGCAATACATTCGTTGCAACACGATGCAATACAACTCTCTGGCGCAAGACACTTGCAGAACCATTGCCCCAAACCTGTTGCACCGCCCTCTTTCAGCTGGACCCCCTTTTTGGTCGAGCAAACCCGTGCTATCTCCCTCTCTCGCCCAGCCCGAGACCCTCGGCCCTCGGCCCTCGATCTCTTCGACCCGCCGCGGCCTGTGTCCATTCGAGACAGAAGGCCGCCTGCCCAACAGCGGACGCTGTTGGTTTGGGACAGCACTTGTTGCTGGGCGTTGTACCCATTCTTTCCCTACCCATTCCGGGCGTCCAAAGAGACGCGCAGTCCGATGACCCAGGACCTCTATCAACCGACCCTTTGATGGCGCCCAAAGCAGTCCCCCTCTCTCGCCCGGCCCGAGGCCCTCTGGCGCAAGACACTTGCAGAACCATTCCCCCGAACCTGTTGCACCGCCCCCTCTCAGCTGGACCCCCTCTTTGGCGCCCAGAGCAGTCCCCCTCTCTCGCCCGGCCCGAGGCCCTCGATCCCTTCGACCCGCGGCCCTCGATCCCTCCGACCCGCGGGCCTCGGCCAGCGGCCCTCGGCCCTCGGCCTCCTCGGCCTCTCCGCGGCCCAGCGGTGCGCAGTCCCGGAGCCTCGACCCTCGGTCCTCGTGGTGAGAGTCGGGCCCGTCCCCCTGCAGGGGGATGTTCGACGAAGAATAAAAAGTACCCCCCGATAGTCAAACGATAGTCCCAAACTAGTCCCGTGATTATCTTTTGAGTATTGCTCGACTTTGACCTCTTTGGGGTATTTTTGGGGGTATTTTTTATTTCTCGTCGAAAATCCCCCTGTCGGGGGACACGCCCGACATAATCCTTGTGTTCGTCCCTGCTCTTTCTTGATCCTCGATCGTCACGAGGGGAAAGAATACACACAGACACAAGGAATCGTCGATTCCCCAGAAAGTATGCAAAACGATGGGAAGTGGGGGGGGACGACGAAAATCAAGAAATTGTAGGAAAATATGAGGGATCCTGTTATTTGTGTGTACAGGGGGGGCGCGCATCAAGAAACCAGATGCTTTTCGTCAGGGTATCCTGGGTTTCTTCGCTCCGCGCGCTGCGCGGCGACTTCCCGCGGCCGTTGAAGGAGGTGCTGCGTTCAGAGCGCTCCAGGTTTTCCCTCTGGCGCACCTCGCGCGCGGGTTTTCAAGGCTGGGTTTCTTACGAGGGTTTCTTGCGGCCGCGCCCGCACTGTATTCATTTGTGTGCCCCAGGGCCCCTTGATTCTCGCTCCCCAGACTATCGGGTTGGGATAAAGGGGGGGATAGCAAAGGGGGGGGGTGAGAATCAGCTCACGTAGCGGATTTTCCCGGCGCTGGAGGCGCCCAGGTATCGAGGCATGGGCCCTCGGTGGAGCCGAAACCAGCTGCATGCAGCAAATTTCGTAACCCCCCCTTTCCCAATCCCCCCCTTTCGTCCGGCCCGAGACTACGATCCCCGGTGCTCGCTCCTCCAACCTCGCTCTTCCAGCCTCGACCCTCTGGGCTGAAGTCGGGCGTGCCCCTCCACAGGAGGATATGATATCCAAGACCAGGGCAAAAAATCGTATCGGGACGATTTTGCTGCGTGCTCTCTCGACCATTTTCGAGCATCGCTTTTGACAAGCTCCGTCTCTCCCCCAAATCCGCCTGCAGGAGGGCATGCCCGACCCAAGCCTGGGCCGAGGGCCTCTGCGACCCGAGGCCAGCGGCGCGCGCGCGGGCTCGCCGGCCAACGCGAGCGGGAGGCAGCTGGCCGCCGCGGCGCAGGACGCCCCCGTCGGCCCCCCGCCGCCGCGGCAGTTTTTTGGGGAGCACCAGGGGGCGACCAGGATTAAGTTGGGCCTGTGCCTCTACAGGAGGAATATCCCAAAATAGTCAAACAACTAGTCTGGGGACGATTTGTGGACCGTGTTTCAGCAGTTTGGAGGTATTGTTTGAGCATGTCTTATCCTTCGCCCAAATTTCCCTGTAGGGGGACACGCCCGACCTGAGACCAGGAGCCTCGCGGCACTCCTGGGCAAGCCTGGGGGGCCCGAGGGCCGGTGCCCGCCCAGAAGGCACGGCGGGTCTGGTCCCGAGTCGGGCGTGTCTTCCTGCGGGAGGAGTCTCCAAACATTTTTTTGTTTTAAATTCGTTTCGGAAGATGTTCCTCTCAAAGATCGGAGGTGGACAGAGCCCCCAACAGTGACACGTCGATGAGTGAATTGTCCGTTTTCGGTTCTCGAGAGGGCGCCGTGGCCGTTGTTTTCCATGCTTGCGCCCGCCAGGTTTGGGCCTCAGGTCGTTTTCACTAAACCACGTTTTACTAAAGGGGGTTCTGTCCAACCCCGAAAAGAATGTTCGATCATTTGTTTTATGTCCCTTTAGGAAATCTGTTCCTTTCAAAAAATGTTCGGTACTTCTTAAGAAAGTTCATTTCGGAATATGTTCGATACTTTGTTTGATGCTTCTTTCAAAAGATCCGCCCGCAGGAGGACATGCCCGACCTACCCAGAGATCCGATGTCGTGATGTTCTCTCTCGCGGTGCCCAGACGTCTCGACCCCTTCCCCCGGACGGGTTTTTCCTCCTGAGCTGTGTTTTGTTTCGCGGTCCCGAGGCCCGGCGAGGGCCCCCAGGCGCCGAAATTGGAGAAAAACCTCCGTCTTGCTTCTTTCCATACGTTGGATCTCTGGGTAAGTTTAGGCCCCCTTCCTTCGCCCCGCGCGCCCAACGCATCCTGAGTTGTGTTTTTTCGCGGTCCCGAGGCCCGGCGAGGGCCCCCAGGGGCCGAGATTTGAGAAAAACCTCCGTCTTGACTTTTTCCATACGTTGGATCTCTGGAGGAGGAGGAGGAGGAGGAGGAGGAGGAGGAGGAAGAGGAGGAGGAGAGGAGGAGGGAGGAGGGGGGGGGGGGAGGGGGGGGGGGGGGGGGTGGGTAAGTTTAGGCCCCCCTCCCTTCGCCCCGCGCGCCCGACGCAGCGCCCTCGCCCCGCGCTCCCGAAAGCCGCGGCCCTGTCCCATGCAGGGCCTGCCGGCCTCCCCTCGTCCACGGCAATGCGCACGGGGGGTCGCTCGGGGCTCGCCTCTGCTTTCCGCTTCAACCTCCTCCCTTCTCCTCCCTCCTCCTCCTCCTCCTCCTCATCCTCCTCCTCCTCCTCCCTCCTCCTCCTCCTCCTCCTCCTCCTTTCTCTCCTCCTCCCTCCTCCTCCTCCTCCTCCTCCTCCTCCTCCTCCCCTCCTCCTCCTCCCACTCTCCCCACTCGTCCCTCCTCCTGTCAGGAGGGGAGAAAACACAGGCACAGCGAATCGTCAAGTTCGCCGAACACATTGAAAATACCGTAAGTGGGGGGGGGGGGGGGGGGCGCAAGTCCGGAAACTATAGGGAAACATGGGGGTGTCCTGGGATTTGTGTCAATTTATTTGTGTGTCCCTGGGCCCCCTCCTCCTGTCACGTTGCACAGGCGTTGATCTGTGATCCTGGGTTGCCCGCGGCGGCGTCCTTCTCACTCCTCCGCCTCCTCCACCCTTGCGCGGAGTGCGCTGGCGACGCGCTGGGCTTAAAGCCTGCCAGCGTCTGCGAGTTCTTGGCCTTCCCCGTTCGCCCTCTGCGCTGGGTCGTTGCCCAGCACCTGTGGCTCGCTGGAGAAACGGCCGGTGAGCTGCTCGGGCTGACCGCGCTTCGCCTCCGACAGGGGTGCTTGGGAGTCGATGTCCAGCAGAGCAGCAGATCCTCCTCCCCCTTCTCCTCCCTCCTCCTTCTCCTTTGTCCTCCTCCTCCTCCTCCTCATCCTCCTCATTATTTGGATCCCCTCAGCTGGACGAACTTGACATTCCAGGTAAGGGCCCCGTCTAATTATCTGGGTCCTCCTCCTCCTCCTCCTTCCCCTCCTCCTCCTCTTGTCTCCTCCTTCTCCTCCCCCTCCTTCTCCTCCTCCTCCTCCTCCTCCTTCTCCTCCTCCTCCTCCTCCTCCTCCCCTCGTGGCATCAAGAAGCTGCCTGACCCGATTAGAGCAACCGCCTTGCGCTGGCCGCCCCCCGGCCCGCCGACGCACTGGGAGAAACGTAGTTTTGAAGTGTTTCTCCATTTCCTTCTTGCTTCACGCTCACGCTCTCCTGTGTCCTCCTCCGTGGCCGACCCTTCTGGTCCTCCACCGGTGCTGGTGCGCAGCTGGCCCTGCTGCCTCTGGGCTGCTGCTGCGTGGCGCTGCGTGCCTTCGCCTCGCCGCTGGCGCAAAGCGGCGCTGGTTTCTCCGACCTCGGGCCTCGCTCGGCGTTGAGGCTCGTCTCTATTGCGAGGATGAAAAGACAACCTTTGGGAAAGGGTTATGGAGGACGACCAATAAAAAGGAAGAAGGTTGCCAAATATTTGCCAGATGTCTAAAACATGTCCTAAACATATGTTAAACATGTTTAACACATGTTTAGAACATTTGTCCTACCTTTTCAACGCATTTGAAATTCAATGATAGGACTGATAGGGTGTCCATTGTCGTGGCATCCACAAGGCAAGGGTCCCGGCATCCCGAGGGCCCGTATTGAGAAAATCAAGTCGTCGGATCTCTGTGTTGGACTTCCGCCATGAGTCGGCGAACTACACACAGGAGTCATGTTTGATGTGACCTCCAGAGCGCGGTTTGCTCCTCCTCTTCCTCTTCTTCCTCCTCCTCCTCGTGGTCGTTATCGTAATCGTCGTCGTGGGCGAGCTGGATTATGTTTGGGGATTTCTTCTCCCATGGAATCGTGAATTGTGGACTACCCTAAACGCGAGTGGATTTGTAAGTGTCTTCTCATGAGGGTTGCAGTAGGAATCAGTGTCTGTGCTTGTACTCGAGATTGTAGTCTTGGTTGTAATCGTGATTGTAGTAGCGATTGTCGTAGTAATCGTAGTCGTGGTTGCAGTCGCAATCGTAGTCGTAATCGTCGTCGCATCGTGGTCGCAGTCGCAAACATAATCGTAGTCGTAGTCGTCATTGTTGTGAGGCGGGCGCCGCGGAAACACAATCAATTTCCACCATTGGTGGGACCCCAGTCCGTCAATACGGGCGTCGAACAGACATTTGGTTTCCACCCATTGGGGGGTCGAAAGACCTCTCGAGGCTAGGGCCCGGTGGGGCCCCCCTTGCTTGTAGCCGAGCCCTGCGGTCGAAGAGAGGCCTGATTTCAGGGCCCTTTGTGCCCTGTGCCGAGCTCTGCAGCCGAGCCCTCTGGACGAAGAGGTGCCTGCAGACGAGCCTTCTGGCCGAGCCCCTCTCCAGGCCCTCTGCCTCGCAGCTCGCCTGGCCGAGCGGCCTCCGCCCGAGGACATGGATCGAGCATCGAGCTCTCTGTAGTCGTTGTCAGAGGTTTGAACCTCGAGGCTCGAGAAGTCTAGTCGCATGAAGCGCTCTCTGGTCTCTGGATGGGCACGACCGACACGGGTACGCGAACACGGTAAGACGATGACTGACAGAAGTTCCCGCCCATTTTGGACAGGGCCCGTTGTCGGCGTCCCCGCGGGCGCGGACCATTTGGGACACAGGACCGGCTGCCCATCAGCAGCCGCTGTGGGCTCAAGGCAACCTCTGCTCTTGTGCATCGCTCCCATGTCTTCAGTACCCACCTCGGGCGTGCCGTTTGGAGACCTCTGTAGACTTCAGGCCCTCTCGCCGAGGAGGGATCAATGATCGAGGTGTCTGGGCGTCTTCGGCCCCTTCTCGGTCATCACTCCCAGACACCCTGTCCTGGCAACAGCTCGATCCAACGTGACTGCTGTGGACTGGGACTGCCAGCGCTTATTCAGGAGGGGGAAAAACACAGACACAATGAATCGTCGACTCCCAACATATATAGAAATATGTAAAATTGGGGGGGGGAGACGAAAACCCAGAAAATATGTGAAAGTATGAGGAGCCTTGGGGTTTGTATTTATCTATGTGTGTGTCCGTGGGCCCCTCCACTTACGATGCGCAAAGTGTCAAAGAGCAGCGCCCACGCCATCGCGACAAGCACCTGCCGCGCACCGGTTCAGGCCCAGCTTGGGCGCAGGATTTGCGAATATATGGTCCAGGGCTTGGGCCCCCCCCCCAATGCTGATGCCATTGGGCCCCCCCCCCCCCCGCGCGATGGTCCCCCCCACCCCCCCCTGTGGGCGTGGCGTGGTGCTGCACTGCGGTGCCCCCCCCCCTGCCCCCCCTGTGGATGTGGTGTGGTGCTGTGGTGGTTCAGAGGTGGGCGTGGCGTGGTGCTGCGCTGCGATGTGGTGTGGTGCTGTGGTGGTTCAGAGGTCGTCGTCGTCGTCCTCGTCGTCGTCGTCGCCGTCGTCATCATCATCGTCGTCGTCGCCGTCGTCATCGTCGTCATCGTCGTCGTCGCCGCCGCCGGCGTCGTCGCCGCCGCAGCCGTCGTCGTCGTCGTGGTCGTCGTCGTCGTCGTCGTCGTCGTCGTCGTCGTCGCCGTCGTCGTCGTCGTCGCCGTCGTCGTCGTCGTCGTCATCGTCTCTGGGACCATACCATCTGGGGGCCCGAGGAATCCTGGGACCATACCATCTGGGGGGGGGGGGCCCGTGGGCCCGGAGCCCAGGACCATATATGTCAGCCAGGCTGGGGCCCCCAGTAGCGGGAGGACGAGGAAAAGCGGGGGGGGGAGGAGGAATGGGGGCGAGGCGAGGATCCCCCGCCCTTCCTTCTCCTCCTCGCCTCGTCCTCCTCCTCCTGCGCCTCCTCGTCCTCCTCCTCCTCCTCCTCCCTCGAAGACTGGCGTTTGTTCCTCCGCCGTCTCGTCCGCGTGCTGTGTTGGGGGCCTAAGACAGCCCCTTCCCTCAGGTATGTGATGTGTGGCGACGGTTTGCAGCATTTTTGTGCACATGCATGGACCAGGCAAAAAGAGACCCAGGACCGCCCTGCCTTGCTGTCTACTTGATGTACCTCTCCCTGTCTATGCAGTGCCTTATGTTCAAGTTGTATTGCGCTGCTGTGCTTACTGCCTCTTCCGTGCGAATAGCAACAACGTTTGCCCGCAACCTTGGCTCCCGAGCGGATGCAACGTCAGGGGCGCAGCCACTTCTCTGTTTGGCGTGTTGAGTGCCGACTGTCAACCTGGCCAGCCAGCGGTGGAACCAAATGCGCGATCCAGGAAGCCCCTCGCCTCCTCCCTCTCCTCCCCTCCCCGCCTGCTGCTTGCTTGCTGCTCCTCCGCCCTCCCGCCCCGCCCTCAGCGCGGCCGCTGCGCGGCGATCCTCCGCGACGCCGGGACCGACAGTGCGGCCCTGGAGCGGTCGTTCCGGCGCGCGGACGCGAAGCGCCGCGTAGCCGAGGCCCGCGGGTGGGCGGGGGCGTCTCAGGCGAGCGGGTTTGTGGGTTAGTCTTAAGTCGGGCTTGTCCCTCTACAGGAGGGAATATGCAAAAGTAGTCAAAAAGTTGTCAGGGGACCATGTTTTGAATTCATTGTTTGCCCATTTTTGAAGCATTTTGGGGCTATTTTCCTCCCCTCCAAAATCCCCCTGTAGGGGACAGGTCCGAGTCGGGCCGCCCGACTGAAGGCTAGTCGACATTCAGGAAGGGGGTCCTGAGGGAAGCGCCATCTGCGGATTCTTGCCGTTTTCCGGCTCTGGGGGCCCTTTTGCCGCACGCCGTTCCCAATCTCCGATGCTCGTTCTCTGCGTGGCCCCAGCCAGCCCTGGTGTTGTTTGGCGGGTTCAAGTCGCAGTGGGTGCATCGCGTCTGAGCGCGTCGAATCGTTATTATCATTGCAGCATTTACAGCCGATCTCGGGAGGCGATGAAGTCAGAGTACGAGCAGAACGTTGTGTACAACAAGCAACAGGCGAATGCCTTGTCTCAGCTTTTGCAGCGGCTGGACAATGTCTCACAGGACTAGCCGTTTTTTCTTGTATCGCAGTGGAGGATGAGGAGAGATGGGGAGGGTGTAGGGGAGTGTTAGAAAATTGTTTGGGAAGAGGGGAGAAGAGTAACAGGACGGAGTGAAGAGAACGGAAGGAGGGAGGGGGACGATTGAAGGAGGTAATGACAGAAGGAGCGGAAGGTGAAGGTAAGCGAGACTCTGGAGGATGTAGCAGGAATCAAGGAGGGATGGGGGAGAATGAACAGGAGCGCGGAGTGCACAGATGAGACTGAGAAGGAGTTGGATGAGCGCTACCAAATGGTATTTCCGTTGGTGCTGCGTCTGCCGCAACAGGGTTTGGTGAGGGAGCTGTCAGCAGCAGTGGGAGCATGAACTGAACCTGCAGTTCGGCTGAGTGGCACCGGGGATGTGACACGAGGTGTGTGCTGCTACAGCGCGAGGCAGTGCGTGGCCAGTGGTGTCATACGTAGCGGTGGCAACAACACTCAGTGGGCGTTTGCACCGCGCAGTTGCGCACGAGTTCTGCTGCTGCGGCCTTGTGTCTGTTCTTGTTTGCTATTGCTGTTGTCACACGCCGCTGCAGTCAGGACGCTGAAACATGGAACAGTTTGGGTTCGGGCGTGATCGTTTTCTGCTCATTGCTTTGCCGATCGGCGGTGGCCCTAGCACCCCCCTTCCCCCCACCACTTCTGGAGTAGATCTCGGATGTTTCTGGCGCCTGCTTCGAGCAGGTGGGGTCTCCCCCCTAGGACGCACTGCTGCAAGCAGTCGCATTAAGCAGAGGTCCGGAACTAACCCCCCCTCCCCCCCCTTCCGCCCAGTATCGCAACGCCGAATAAGAAAACCGACGGGGCTCGTTGTTCCTTAGGTCCTTCACTGGCTATTCCTCGAACCCTCCACGTCATGAAGGAAGGCGCTGCTGGGGCCACAGAGGAGCTTCGTTCCGTAAATATCGTTCCTTATTTCACCTGTCCGACGGCCGACGGTCCTGCGAATCATCCGGGCCGCTTCATATCTCCTCTGGCTTCCACGGTTTGCGGCAGCAATCTTGGCAAGTTTCTCCCGCAGGATGCTGCGGGCTTTCGCACACGGGCGGGACGCATACTTCAGGGCCACGTCGAGGCGGGCCGATGGGGATGCAGGGCGAGGGATCCCGAGAGACAGAGTGATGGGAGCAAAGTATCTCTCTTTCTCTCGCTGTCTCTTCCGTGTTCCATCTCCCTGAATGGTGCGTCCCCAAGCAGAGTTTGAATTGAAGGGTTTCATTGCTGAGGTCGATAGGGATTCGGTGGAAGTGCTCTCCGCCAATTTCGACAGACGGCCGGGTTCTAGAGTTCCAAGGTTTGTGGTTCTGGGTTGGGGGATCCCAGCAGTAAGGATTTCGTCAGAGTGTGTCGTCGATTTGGGTTGGCGGTTGGTGTTCCATGTGCCCAAGGTGGAGAAAGACAAGGTGATACGTAGAGAGAGAGAGAGAGAAGGAAAAAGAGAAAGAGAGTGGGAATGTGGAGAGAAAATGTGGTCAGTACCGAACATAACCAGAGCATAGCATAGCTAGTATGGAGAGTTCACAGCATGTACATCTTGGCCCGCCACTGCTCTTTGTCGTGGACAAAAAGTTTCTGATAAGCCACTGGGAGTCTTGCGAGGCCTCTTGGAGGCCCCGTGGAAACCTCTTGTGGGCCTCTTGCAGGTCTCCTTTCTCGGGGGCATTTGGAAGCCTATTCGGGGCCCTCTGGCGGTCTCGGGGGCCATCCCGTGGGAAAGGGCTCGCACTGTCGGTTCGGGTTCCCCCGCTTTGAGCCCTTCTTGGGCCATCTTGGGGATTTGTGGGCCCCTTCGGGAGCATCGCGGACCGTCTTCGGGCGATATCGGGCGCCTATTGACTAAAAGGTGACACACATATATATATATATATATATATATATGTGTTGTAGTGGCCTCCGGCCAGTGCCGCCGATCCGGGGCGCTTCCGTGGCTGCTGGAAACGCACGATGGCGGTCATGACCGGCGACGACGGCGAGCGGTGAGGATGATGATGAGGATTGGGAATGGCGGCGACGGAATAGGAGGAGGAGGAAGTGGAGGAGGTGGAGGAGGAGGAGGACGAGGAGGAGGAGGAGGATCATGACGAGGTGGAGGTGGGCGGATGGGGGAGGGGCAGAAGTAGCAGGATGCTGAGGCTGAGGAGGAGCAGGAGGAAGCGGGAAGTGGAAGAGGGGGAGGAGGAAAAGGAGGAGCGTGACGAGGATGAGATTTTCGGCAGTTGTTGGAGATGGTCGGCGGTTGTTGGAAAGCCTTTTCGGGGGCTAGGCGTTGACCCTCTTTGGGTTGGCGCCTCGCCGATTTGGCGCGTTCTCTGCAAACTGTGTGCTAGAGCTCTGCGCGTCACAGTTATTTGTGGAGCCTTGCGCACCGCCAGTCTGTTGGGAACCATTGTGTTCTTGCGGTCTCTGGGGTTTTGTCGCGGCCTTCTGCGGGCCCTTGTGAGATCATGGATGTGAAGGACACCGAGGACGGAAGAATTTGTGCAAGCGGGGAAGGACCTTTTGTATTGCAGCGCTTGAATTCAGACGCAAGCGCCGTGGAAGCGTCGGGGCCGTTGTTGGGTTTCTCGGAGGGGGTCTTGGAGGCAGCTTGGAGGCGCCTAGAAGGCGTCATGGCTGCACGTTTTGAAACTATTGGGGGCCCCTTGGGGGCTTCACGGGGCCACTTCGGGGCCAGTTGGAAGCGTCTTCAGGCCACTTCCGGCCTCCTGGGGGCCTCTGGGGGGCTGCTTGGGGCTTCTTGGACCGTCTTCGGCACTACGCCTTTTTGGCGCCCGCTCGGGCGCCACCTGGGCCCGTCCTGGGGCCTTAAAACAAATATCTGTGTTGAGGCACCAGGGTGCCTCCTGGGCCATTTTGGGCCCGTGTTGGGCCGTCTTGGAGCCCTCTTGGCGGCTTCTCGTGCCGTTTTGGGGCTCCCTTGGGGCGTCTGCGACGCTCTGAAGGCCCAAGAGTGTGACAATTGTGTGTTTTCCTTCGGGGATGGGACACGTTTCGTTTTTTTGTTTTTTCTTCTTTTTTTTTGTTTTCCCCCAGGGCTTCTGAGGGCATCTGGGAGGTCTTTGGTTCGTCTTGGGGACATTTTGGGCGTCTTGTAGCGATCGTTCGGCGACTCGGGGCCCTCTTGGCCCATGTTGGGGCCCTCCTGGGCGAGGGGGCCGTCCCAAATTGATCTAGAGCTCAGATTCCGCCCTGGGAATTAAAGCAACCCCCCCCCCTACCCCGACAGACCCACTCCGGCACCCACCCCCCAGTAGAGCTGAAGTTCAGGAATTGAAGCTCAGGCTGTTCAGAGGGTTTTTGAAATTCACACGCCGGATCGGCGGAGTTGTAGTTGCGTGCGCGCCATCATGCTACATGTTGTTGTGCTTTTACATGTTGGTTCTAGTCGGGCGCGATCGGTTTATAATTTCGTGCAGTTTACGTGCGGTGACCTTTGCCCACCTCAGCGGAGCTGTCTTCATGGCCACCGAGATAGTATCCGTCTATTTGACGTCCGTAGTGGCCGTTCTAATCATCACCGCCATTGTTGTCATCATGAATGGCAAAGCCTTCTGCAACACGTAGAGCGCCTTGGGTGGCAATTCGTGGGAGTCTCCCATACCATATTGTCGGCTCTTGCGAATTGACACTATTCGGCGCTAGATCGACGTTAACTGGCGCTAGATGTACGCTCGTTGACGCTAGCCGATTTTAGATCAGCGCTATCTCATCGGCTCCCAGACGCTAATCGACGCTAGCCGGCGCTAAATACATAATCGCGAGGGTACTCAAGGTTCTTATGATTTGCCACCGAGAGCGCCAGTTGTACGTAGAAGACCCCGGTCGACTGCAACAGCGACTCGCTGACCGACCGTATTCTTATCCCCGAATCCAAGCGGGGTGGTCCCCGCATCACTCCCCACAGAGTTTTCATAAGGCATTTGCCTCGTCCGCTCTTCCCGCCAGCCGTTCAGTGCAGTCGCGGCGCCCAAGCACTACGCCCCCCGGACCTGAGAAACCGAAACGTCTGACATCCACGAGGCGGGGCGACCCCACGTCCGCAGCTGACGCGCTGACAGAGGCAGGTTCGCCAGAATGTGTATTCGCTGTGATGGCATTCCCTTCGCGCTGTATACTTCGTGAAAGTTCCCTGCGCAGTTTTCCTGAACAAAAACGGCTCCGTCATTTGTATCGAAGACGCCTGCGGCGAATCACCGCCGCCTCCTGCATTTTGGAATCGCCAATGTGGCCGGGCGTTGTGGCACGAGCTCTGCGAAGCTATCGGGCCATGTGTTCCTTCAGCCCTTGTAGAAACCCTTCGGGGAACACTTAGGGGAGGATGGCGGGGAAGATCAGGAGGAGGATGAGGATGAGGGGGAGGAGGAGGAGGAGGGAGGAGGAGGAGGAGGAGGAGGAGGAGGAGGAGGAGGAGGAGGAGGAGGAGGAGAAGGAGGAGGAGGAAGAGGAGGAGGAAGAGGAGGATAGGGCATCTTTGGAGCCTCTGGGGGCACTCTTGAGGCCTCCTTGGAGTTTCCTGGGAGTCTTCGGAGGTATCTTGGGGGCCTCCTTTGGCATCTTGGGGGCCTTTGGGGGCTTCTCGGGGCCTCTTTGGCCGTCTTTGGGCATTCCTGGCCCGTCGGAGGCAGTCTTGGGACCTCTCTGGGCCGACTTGGAGCCCTCTTTGGGTGCTCCAGGGCCATCTTGGGGGCCATCTTGGGCGTCTTCGGGGCCTCTTGGGCCGTCTTGGGGCCCTCTTGGAGCTGTCTTCGGGGCATCTTGTTCCGTTTTGGGGCCATCTTAGAACGCTTCGTGGGCGATTTTTGGGCGATCTTTGAGGGCTATTGGGCCGTCTCGGGCCATCGGAATATAGAAAAATCAAGCAAATGCGCCAATCCTTCAAAACTCAAGGGACATCAATGATGTTGGCCTCTTCGGGTCTTCTGGAGGCCCCCTTGGAGGCCTCTGGGGCTGTCTTGGGGCCGTCTTGGGGACCTCTTGGGGACCTCTTGGGGACCTCTTGGGGACCTCTTGGGCCGCCTCGGGCCGCCTTCAAGCCATCTTGGGCCGTCTTGGTGGCCTCCTGGCCCGTCGGACGCCGTCGGAAACCGCCTTGAGAGCTTCTCTGGGCTTACTTGGGGCCCTCTTGGGGTGCTCCAGGGTCGTCTTGCAGGCCATCTTGGGCGTCTTCAAGGCCTCTTGGGCCGTCTTGGGGCCCTCTTGGGGCGGTCTTGGGGGCTGCTTGGTCCGTTTTGGGGCCATATTGGAAGGTTTCGTGGGCGATTTGGGGGCGATCTTTGGGGGCTGTTGGGCCGTCTCGGGCCGTCGGAAGATCGAACAATTAAGCAAATGCGCCAATCCTTCAAAACCCAAGGAACATTAATGATTGTTGCCTTTTCGGGCCTTCCTGGGAGACCTCTTGGAGGCCTCTTGGGCCTTCTTGGAGATCTCTTGGGGGCCTCTTGGACTGTCTTGGGCCATCCGCGAGGCATCTTGGTCCGTCTTGGTGGCCTCCTGGCTCGTCTGACGACCTTCGAAGCCGTCCTGAGGGCCTCCCCGGGCCGACTTGGAGCGCTCTTGGGGTGCTCCAGGGCCGTCTTGGAAGCCATCTTGGGCGTTTTGGAGGCCTGGTGGGCCGTCTTGGGGCCCTCTTGGGGCGGTCTTTGGGGCCTCTTGGGCAGTTCTGGGATCATTTTGGAGGCCTCTTGGGCGATCTTGGGGCGATCTGTTGGGGCTCTTAGGCAGTCTCGCGCCGTCGGAGGACCGACGAGAAGCACATGCCCAGACCCTTGAAAAACCGAACGACAATCAATGATGTTGGCCTCTTCGGGCCTTCTTGGAGGACCTCTTGGGTGCCTCTTGGGCCGTCTTGGAGGCCTCTTGGGGGCCTCTTGGGCCGTCTTGGGCCATCTTGAGGCCATCTTGGACCATCTTGGAAGCATCTTGGGCCGTCTTGGAAGCATATTGGGTCCATCTTAGCCGTCTTGGAGGCCATCTTGGCCATCTTGGAGGCCATCTCTGGCCATCTCGGCGGTCTTGCAAGCAATCTTCAGCCGTCGTGGGAACATTTCTCTGAGAATCGTGGGCATTTCGGGTGGCCGGCGGGACGGGCCGAAGCCCCAGAAGGATCTCTTTAGGAACAAGCCAAAACCAAACCGTCTAGGATTCAGCACGCCGGGCATCTCTGTGGCAGCCAACAGGGGGCGGCGGATCGAAGACGCCTACGGCGAGTCACCGCCGCCCCCTGCCCCTTCGGAAGCGCCTCTGTGGCCGACAGCTGGGCCAGAGCTTGGCCAAGCTATCGGGCCAGTAATTCCCCGAGTCGGGGGAACGCATGGGGGAGCAAGAAGAGGAGGAGGGGGGGGATGAGGAAAAAAGAGGAGGAGAAGGAGGAGGAGGAGGAGGAGGAGGAGAAGGAGGAGGAGGAGGAAGCCTCTTGGGCGCCTCTTGGGGCACTCTTGGGGCCTCCCGGGAGCTTCTTGGGGGGTCTATTGGAGGGTTTGGGGGGCCTTCGGGGGCTTATTGGGGGCCTCTTTGCCCGTCTTAGGGCGTTCCTGGCTTGTCTGACGCCGTCGGAAGCCGTCTTGGGGGCCCGTCTGGGTCGTCTTGGGGCCCTCTTGCATATCAGGGGTTCTTAGAGGCCATCTTGGGCGTCTTGGAGGCCTCTTGGGCCGTTTTGGGACCCTCTCGGGGCCGTCTTGGGGGCCTTTTCGGCCGTCATGGGGCCATCTTGGAGGCCTCTTGGGCGATCTTTGGGGGCCTCTTGCGCCGTCTTGAGCCGTCGGAATGCCGATAAGAAGCAAATGTTAAAATCTTTCAACACCTTAGGACAATTAATGATTTTGGCCTCTTCGGGCCCTCCTGGAAGACCTCCTGGACGCCTTTCGGGCCGTCTTGGAGTCCTCTTGGGGGCCTCTTGGGCCGTCTTGGAGGCAATTTTGGCTGTCTTGGAGGCCTCTTGGGCCCTCTTGGGGGCGTCTTGGGCCGTCATGGGGCCATCTTGGAGGCCTCGTGGGCGATCTTGGGGGCCTCTTGGGCCGTCTTGAGCCGTCGGAATGCCGAGAAGAAACGAATGCCAGAATCCTTCAAACACTTAGGGGAAATCAATGATTTTGGCCTCTTCGGGCCCTCCTGGAGACCCTCTTGGAGGCTTCTTGGGCCGTCTTGGAGGCCTCTTGGAGGTCTCTTGGGCCGTATTAGGCCATCTTGGGGGCCTCGTGGGCGATTTCGGGGCGATCTTGGGGGCCTCTCGGGCCGTCTTGAGCCGTCGGAATGCCGAGAAGAAACAAATGTCAAAATCCTTCAAACACCTAGGGGAAATCAATGATTTTGGCCTCTCCAGGTCCTCCTGGGGGACCTCTTGGAGGCCTCTTGGGTCGTGTTGGGCTGTCTTGGAGGCTTCTTGGGTGATTTGGGAGGTATCTTGGACTCGCTTGGGCCGTCTTGGAGGCCGTGTTGGACCATCTTGGGCGGACTTGGAGGCCATTTTGGACCATTTTGGAGGCCATCTTGGGTCACCTTGGCCATCTTGGAGGCCATCTTGAGCCCTCTTGGAGGATTTTGGGCGGGACTGAGATCCCTTTCGGGTGGCCGGCGGGACGGGCCGAAGCCCCAGGTGGGGTTCTTTTGGAAAAAAGAACCAAAACCAAAACCGAAAGGGTCTAGCACCCGAATATAATTGCCTTCGGCCCATCCCGCCACCGTTCCTTGATTGTGGGTCTGAGCTTCCTGGAGATAGTTTTTGAGGTCTCTTGGGGGCTGTTGTGAGACCTGTTGCTGCCTCTTTGGGCCTCTTCGGGTCTCTTGTGCACCGTTTTGGGCCTTTTAGGTGTCTTAGGGGGCTCTTGGGCGCCTCTCGGAGCCTCTTATGAGCCTCGTGGGTTCTCCTGGGGGCCTCTTGGGGCGAAAGGCTCGGATTTTCGGTGCACGTTCCCCCTCTCGGGGCCGTCTTGGGGCTCTCTTGGTCCGTTGTGGGCGCCTGTTGAGCCGTTGTGGGGCGCCTTTGGGGTCCTCTCGGGGCGGTCTTGGGAGCCTCTTGGGCCGTCTTGGAGCGTCGGAAGCTCGAAACGTCGAGAACCTAAACAACATCAAAACACATATGAAAAATCAGTATTTCAGAATCTTCGGGCCCTAGTGGGAAGGCACTCGGTGCTCGCTTGGGGCGTCTGGAAGGCTTCTTGGGCCCTCGTGGGTTGGACCGATCGTGAGGCGATGCAGGGCCCTCTTGGACCGTCCGGGCGGCCTTAGTGGCCATCTTGGCCCTTGTCGGGACTCTCTTGTGCCCGAAAAGTCATGCGACAAGATTCGACGCGCCCTCTGGGGCACGCGGGGAGCCCAGGAAGGTTTGGAATTTTGGGTCAGGGCCTTTTCAGGACCGATGACTGAGGCTTAGAAAGATTTGGCCAAGGACCTGAGGACACGCCAACTCGTGCCTCAAGGGCACGGTGGCGGATTAGTCCCGGAATAGCTTGTCTGTAAGACTTGATTTTTGGTTCTACGAAGCCGGTCACCGTCCGACCCGGATTTGGGATCGGTCGGGGGCTTCGGTCTCCCGTATCGTCTTCCGTATGGTCTTCTGTATGTGCATTCCAATGGAATCTTGTATTGATTGTTTCTGGCTGCTCCTGCCGCCTGAGGCCCCGCCTTCTTGTGCCCTGTCTCCGTAATGCAAGTTGTGCGTAACACGCCTAGCTTTTAGCGGAAGAGGTTCGCTCTCGCCCCGCAGATCAACAAAACATCCTTCTGCTGTATCGGGTCAGTTGCCGCGAGGGTGGGATGCAAGTCGCCTCTCTCTTCCCCTCTTCTGCCAAGGGGGGGTCATTTCGCGCTCCTAGCCCTGCGTCGTCGCCGCCACCGCTGTCGCCCTCCTCGTCGTCGTGGTCGCTTTTGTCGTCGTCATCCTCGCCCTTGTCACTGTCCCAGTTGCTCGTCCTTTCTCCCCCTTCGCTTGTCGCTGCTCGGCTTAAGTCGGGCATGTCCCTCTACAGGTCTACAGGAGGAATATTCCAAAATAGTCCAGAAGTAGTATGGGGACGATTTTTTTTGTGACTAATGCGAAGGCCTTACGGCCGTTGCCGCCGACCCTGAAGAGAGACGACGACGACGACGACGACGACGACGACGACGACGACGACGACGCTGACGTGGGTCAGAGTCCTCAGGGATTCTGTTTGGGGTCTCGTCGGAGCGCTCTCGGAGGCCTCTGGGTGCAGTTTTGAGGCCCCTGGGACATCTTTTGGAGGCCTCTTGGGAGCCTCTTGGGAGCCTCTTGGGGCCTCTTGGGGGCCTCTTGGAGCCTCTTGGGGTCCTCTAAGGGGCCTCTTGGGGCCTCCTCAGGGACTCTAGGCGGAGGGCTCAAAATGTTCGCTGAGTTCCCTTGTGTGGGCACCTGCTTGAAGCCCTCTTGGGGGCCTCTTGGGCCGTCTTGCAGGCGTCTTGGGCCGTCTTCGGGTCCTCTTTGGTCCGTTTCGGGACCCTCTGGGAGGCCTCTTGGGTCGATCGTTGGAGCTTCGTGGGCGATGTTTGGAGCGTCGGGAAGCTGAAAAGGCGAGGATGCCCAAATCCTTGAAACCTCACAGAAAATCAAGGACTTGTTCCTCTTGGGGCTCTCTCTATAGAGCGCTCTTCGAGGCCTCTCGGGCCGTCCTCCAGCCCTCTTGGGCCGTCTGGGACCGATCGTTCGGCGATTTGGGGTCCTCTTGGACCGTCTTGGGGGCCTCTTGGGGCACTCTTGGCTTGTCTTGGGACGTTTTTGGGCTCCGGGCCCCCCAGGGGCGGATAGTATTCTGACCCGGGACACCCCCAGGACCCCCCCCCCTGGCGGGGAAGGGATCAAATGGAATGGGCTTCCGTTCGACTCAATTACGACGTTTCTAAATTTCGTTTTGGCTATCGCGCTTGAGGAGGAGGGCCCAGGACAAGGAGAGGGCTGCGACGGGCCCAGGGAAAGAGAGAGAGCGACGACGGCGACGACGTCAACGTCGACGAAGACGAGTCAAACGGAACAGCCTCTTCCACACGCCGATTGGGTCGGCGGTTTTTTGGCCCAAAATCTGCCTGTAGGGGGACATGCCCGACCTCGTGCTGGGCCGTTCTCCTCTCGCTGGGTACCTCGAGGAGCTGCTGGCGCTCGCCAGCGACCTGGCGCCGCAGCCCAGCGCGGACGAGCAGCACACGGCGCGGCTCGTTCGCAGCCTGGCCCAGAAGGCTGGGTGAGGGAGGAGGAGGAGGAGGAGGAAGACGAGGAGGAAGTGGAGGATGAGAAGGAGGATGATGATGAGGAAGAAGAAGAAGAATCATACTAAGAGGAGGAGGAGGAGGAGCAGGAGGAAGAAGACGAAGAAGAGGATGAGGAGGAGGACGAGGAGGAGGATGAGGAGGAGGGGGAGGCGGAGGAGGAGGAGGCGGAGGAGGAGGAGGAGGAGGAGAAGGAGGAAGAGGAGGAAGAAGAGGAGGACTGACAATAATAACACTAACACTAATCATCTCATGAGTGTAAAGAATGATAATAATAATAATGCGAATACGAAAAATACTAATACTAAGAAGAATAATCAGATGCGGATGAGGAGGAGGACGAGGAGGAGTAGGAGGAGGAGGAGGAAAAAAGTCAGGGGGAGGAGGAGGAGGAGGAGGCGAAGGAAGCGGAGGAAGAGGCGGAGGAGGAGGAGGAGGAGGCGGAGGAGGAGGAGGAGGAGGAGGAGGAGGAGGAGGAAGATGAGAACAACAAAGGAGTCTTGGTGGAGTGGGGTGCAAGTCAGTCCGCTCCGCCCGGTGGTTGGCGTTCTTCTCATCGTGCTCATGTGTCTCCTGGTACTCTGGGGAGTTCCGTCGAGGAGGCCGAGCTCGAACATGTCATCGCGCTCTTGGAGGCCAACTCCTATGACGAGTCGGCCCGCAAGTATACAGATCAATTTCGGACCCTCCAGCAACCGCCTAAGTTGTCGGTGGGGCCCGCGAAGCAGGATATGGAAAGGCGTCAAGCTGCCCTTGAGAGGCAGGTGGCGAGAGCCAACCGATTTGAAGAGGAGCTTGCCCCTGCCAAAGAGGACAGTGCAGCAGCATGTTTGGCCCTGCGTGCAGCGAAGGACCAGTACAGGGGGCCCGGATTAGTAGGTCGACCCTGCCAGATCAAGGGTACCCTTGTGTCCTTTGTTTCGCGACCAATGCCTCCTACGTTCCTATGGCAATGTTGCCCTCGGAAGGGTCTCTGATCTTGTGTCCTCTCGCGGGTCCTGTTCAATCAAATCCGACTGTATGCATCAGCAGTCAAGCAGTTGGCGTCCACCGTCTCTTCCGCCACTGGCCCCGCCTGCCCCTCAAGCCCCGCTCGTCTCTACTCACCCGTCCCTCGAGAAGCTCATGGATGGGGACTTGAAGGAGGTGGAGTTGGATGACGGTGGCCTATTTGGCTTGGAGGAGGCGGGCTGGGAGGCATCGAAGGAGGAGGTGGAGGAGGCCCAGAGGAGGAAGGCTTTGCTGGTCGAGCATTTCCGCAAGGCGGCTGTGGAGGCCTTTTGCTACCTTCCGAGAGCAGGCCAAGGAAGCCATCGGATAGCGAAAGGAGTTGCGCACCCGGCTCGCCGCCACGAAGTGCCTACCGAGGAGGGGACGGCGGCTGGCGGGACCGAGGGTGTTGGGCCTCCTGGGGTTGCTGATCCCCCCGCCGTGTCCGAACCTCCGCCCCAGCCCAAGCAGCAGCAACAGCCACCCTCTGCCCCACCCCCCAGCGCGGAAGAGCTCTTCGCGGCAGCCAGGGCCGAGGCCAGCCGGCTGGTCGGGGAGCATCCGCTCATGAGGAGGCGGAGGAGGAGTGGGGTGCAGGTGGCGGAGGCGCCGGGGGCAACCAGGCGGCGGGAGGAGGCGGCAAGGGAGGAGGCAGGTGGCGGAGGAGGAGGAGGAGGAGGAGGCGCACCGGGAGAAGCAGCGGCAGGAGCGGCGGCTCCAGGAGGGAGGGCGGCCGACGCAGCGGCCTCTGGGGGGCCAGAGCCGCGGGGGTGAGCCCCCACGGGTGGCGGGCGAAGGGCCCGCGGCGGCCGTCACCGTGCCAACGGCCAGCACGTCCGACGGGTGCAGTTGCCGGAGGTTCATGTCGAAGGAGGCCCCCGGGGCCACAGGCGATCTACTTCACAAGAATTGGAGCTCCCCCCTCGGCCAAGGATGATGGGGAGGCTAGGTTGAGAGGTTGGCATTGGTCAACAACACTGATCAGCCCTAGCAGGATCACTCAGGCTGAGGGGGTGTCTTCAGGGGTTGGGATATCGGTGGCTAAGCACCTTTGGTCGGGGCCCAGGCTTCCGTCGGCGCCGAGAGTTGCGATGGCCTGGATCAACAGTGTCGTGCCGCCTGGAGATGTCCTTGCCGTGTCGCTGCACCTACCCACGGGAGATCCCCTGGGCGCCGAAGGAGCCCACCTATTATGCCGCTTGGGTGAGGTTCAAACGCTCTAGTTGCCATATGTGGTTGGAGGTGATTAGAATTGCCCCCCCTTCCCAGGTGCGAGGCTTCGGCTGGGCTGGGATGGTTGGGGGGATCATTGCATCTTCGGGAGAAGCGACGTGCCGGAATGGCCAGACCTGAAGGGAGCTGGACTATTCTGTGGTGCCGGCTGGCCTTCACCCGTCCGGGCTCTCAGTCATCGTTCGCAAGGACACGACGCTCGTGGCGCACTGCCCCGTCGCCCTGAGGTTGCGTGCAACGATCGCTCGGGCTGAGGTGCTGGCCCCTGCTGGCCCTCGTCGGTTCCCTCGCTCGGCCCCGCTCTGCCCACTCCCTCCCCCGCCAGACTGGGGAGAGGTGGATGCGGCCCTGGATGCGGGGGAAGGTCAGGGTGAGCTGGGCAAGGTCTGTGGGGAGATGTTGGTTCTCATCGAGCCGGAGCTCATCAGTGCGCACGGCCTCCAGAGGCCCGAGGAGCACAGGCACAGAGGTGGAGGTGCTGGATGGTGCCTGCGGCGGGCCCCCGAACTTCGGACGTCTGGAGGCCCCTGCGCCCTTTCTTGCACAAAGGCCCGAGGCTGGGGGAAGGTGTCCATTCGTTTCCAGGAGCTCGGCTACGCTGCTCGGAAAAAGCTGAGGGAGTCGTGCCCCAGCACTATTTCGGCCCGGAGTCTAAGCTGGTCCGGAGCTGCCCCGTAGATGAGGATCTGGAGTTTGGGAAGCAATGGCGTCCCACCTTTGTGGCGCTTTGGGATCCAGGCGCTGAAGATCCAGGCTCGCATTCGGCAGAGGCGGCCTATTTTGCTTTACTGTCAGAGTAGGCCTTCGCTAGGGCTCGAGGCGTTGCATGCAGGAGGCGCGCGGCCGAGGCGCGCGAGAACGGCGCCGGCAAGGCGCGCAGGTTGACGCAGTCACCGATGGGCTGGCGCCCATCTGCCCCGAACCAGGACGAGGTTCCCATGTGTCTCGCTGCCAAGGCGGATGCGCTGCAGAAGGAATGGCGTGAGATTTTGGGGGGTCCCCGACAAGTCTGCGCTGCTCGAGCGAGAGGGCGTGGGCCCCGGCCAGGCTGCCAGCATTGCACCTTTCGATGCTGCGGCTATCCGGAAGGTGGCCCGCACGTCTGAAGGTGCGGACGGCTGTCGGCGTGGGCCTGCTTGCCCCGCGGGATCGGCGCTGGCTTTCGGAAAGCGCCGCCGACGCACCCGGGAAGCTGCGGCACCGGATGTTGGTAGGGGGCCAGATGCGAACCCTACCCCTACCTCCCACGATTTCTGAGGGGGAGGGTGGGGTTCACTTCGTTCGGGAGCTCCCGAGCAAAGTGAACCCCACCCTCCCCCTCATAAATCGTGGGGGGTAGGGGTAGGGTTCGCATCTGGCCCCCTAGTTGGGGGCCGGACGGCCCCCTTCCAGATTTCCCTGATCACGATGGCCATGCTGGAATAACTAGAAGGCGGGCACAGGCCCATTGGGCCACTCGCCACCTTCGTCCGAGTTCGAGGCCGCTGCGCCCGCCACGTCGCCAAGTCTCGGGGGGAAGGTCACAAGCGATGCTATTTTCACAGGTGCTCGGGAAAGTCGCGTGAGCGGGGGGTCTCGGAGTAGGCCTTCGCCGCTGAGCACGCGCAAGTGGAGAAGAGATGCGCTGGAACGGGTCTATTGGATCTGTCCAAGGCGCATGGGCGAGTTGCCCATGCCTTCCTCGTCGGTGTCGCGGCCGCGGCCCAGTTCCCCTTCGACTTTCTGAGATTGCTGTTAGCGATTTATCGTTCACCCAGTTTGCTGCTCATTGGTGGGATGGCTTCAGCCCCAGTAGTTGCGTGGCAAACCATTGTTGCTGGATGCGGGTTCACCGCGACGCTTCTGAAGATGTAGTTGCTGCCTACACTGGGCGTTGTTCTCGTCCAGTTCCCGTTTGCAAAGCTGGCGAACGTGGTCGATGATATCGCACTGGAGGTGCAGGGCAGTGTCAAGCTTGTAGCGGACAAGCTCAGTGATATGGTGAAGTTCACGCGTGCGAGATTTGAGAGACTTGGCTTCGTTCTGGCTAGGACTAAGGACAGAATCCTCTCCACCCACCGCGCCGTGACCAGCGGGGTCACTCGGAGCCTTGCTAGATGGGCCTTCAAGGGGGCCGCTGTGGCCAAACATCTGGGCGTCGATTTCACGCTTGGTAGAGCTCGCCGAAATCCCGCCCAGAGTAAACGGATGCAGAGAATCACGAAACGGGCCTCCAGGTCTCGGGCCCCGATGTCCTCGTTCGGCACGCTGTCCAGGATTGTCCGCGCAGGAGCCGACCCTGCAGGACTGCGTGGCGCCTCGGTCCAGATGGCGTCAGACAGGTCCCTGAAGCAGCTGCGCGCCGCGACCGGAGATGCTGCGGGGCCACATGCGAACCCTACCCCTACCCCTACCCCCCACGATTTCTGAGGAGGGGGGTGGGGTTCACTTCGCTTGGGAGCTCCCGAACGAAGTGAACCCCACCCTCCCCCTCAGAATCGTGGGGGGTAGGGGTAGGGCTCGCATCTGGCCCCCTAGATGCGCCGCTCGGGAAGGCCAGGGATAGAAGCCGCCCGCTCTCTTTCATCTTGGCCCCCACGCCTGCTGCCGATCCGTTTGTGGCCAAAGGCAGCTCCGCCCGCGGCCTCTGGACCTCGGCGGCCCGGCGCGGGTGGGCCGAGCCGGCCGAGATGGAGCGGGTGATGGCCGCAAGGAGGGCCGACGGGCCGCCCGAGTGGCGAGGCGGGAGGCAGAGCCGCTCCAAAGGGCGGTGTAGCTAAGGGCCCCCCCACCCATTCCTGAGGGTGCGCCACGGGCGCGTGCTCTCACAGGTTTTGTTTTCTTCATGTCCGACGCGGCGGTGGCACCTATTTTCCGGGGGTGGGACCGCATGGGGCTTGGCTTCTGCATGCGGGAATAGTGCCGTTTGGCGCAGATGGTTGCGCGGGTGAGTAATTTGTTCATGTTTGCGCTCGCTCGCGACCACCAGTTCTTACGTCTGGGGGTGGGAACCAAAGTCGTTGAACGTGTTCTGTGGCTGGGGACTTCGATCATCACTTTTCCCAACCATCCTGTGGTGTTAAGTCTTCGTTTTGAAGAGACGGTCCCCGCGTTCCTCTTCTCCTCCTCTTCCCCCTCCTCCTCTCCGCCTCCCGCATGTCCCCCACACCCAATTTGGCACACCCCTCACACGTTTCGTGGCCCCATAGGGAGCTCCACCGAAGGCCCCAGTGCCACCGCCCGCATGCGTCCCCCACACCCAATTTGGCACACACCCCTCACACGATTCGTGGCCGCATAGGGAGCTGCCCCACCGAAGCCCCCAGTAACACCGCCCGCATGCGCCCCCCACGCCCAATTTTGCATTTTCGCCCACCCAGTACAGCGCTTCGTGACCCCATAGGGAGCTCCACCGAAGCCCCCAGTGGGACCGTCCGCATGCGTCCCCCACACCCAGTTTGGCAGTTCCACCCACCCAGTACAGCGCTTCGTGGCCCAAGAGGGAGCCCCACCGAAGCCCCCAGTGGGACCGCCCGCATGCGCCCCGCACACCCAGATTGGCATTGTCACCCACACAGTACAGCGCTTCGTGGCCCTATAGGGAGCCCCACCGAACCCCCCAGTGGGACCGTCCACATACGTCGTCGCCCACACCCGATTTGGCATCAGATGATACAACTGTCCTGGAAAAGGACCCAACCATATAAAGTTGTGGGTACCGCAATTGTGAATATCTTCTTCGGTGAAGCTCCCTATGGAGCCACGAAGCGCTGCGCTGGGCGGGGGGGAGTGCATGCGGGCGGTACCACTGGGGCCGTCGGTGAAGCTCCATATGAGGCCACGCAGCGCTACACTGGGTGGGTGAAAATACCAAATGAGGCGTGTGGGACGCATGCGGGCGGTCCCAGTGGGGGCTTCGGTGGAGCTCCCCATGGGGCCGTGAAGCGTCGTAAAGGGTCATTGGATGACGTATGGCACCCGATGCATGATCGCATGGGGGAGGGACAGTGTACATAACATAGCTCGCTTAAGGCAGACACCGATGCAGGCGTGGCAACATAGCTACGGAGAGTGGCGAATCGAATCATGAAGTGGACGGATGATTGGGCATTGCGCCCACTCATGGGATAATTATCAAGAGAGCTTACAAGGGTCTGTGACGAGAGCGCAGTATAGCCTACCTTACGAGAGTCATTCGAAGGGACGCGGGCTGAGCTTGGTGGGAGTTGTTGAAAGACGTCCCGGAATACTATCGCAGAATGGCTGGCATTTTGCGCACGAAGCTGGGTGATCATCCGACTGACGCGATTCTGCATTGCGTTTGTTGGGATCGGTGGAGGGAGGTAGCGGCGAGGGGCAGTAGCGAGCAGGCTTGACTAACGAATCGACGGGACGCCATCGACGCAGTGTGCGCGGCCATGGGCCTACCTCTTTTGTTTGCGCAGCTGGTTCGCCCTGCCGACGAGCCAACGCACAAAAACATCGCGCCAGCCCCAGGTCATCACATTGTCCGCCTGGGCCGGGTGGGCCAACTGGCAGCCGGCGGTAAACCGTCAACCAGGTTACCGCCGGGACCCTCGTAGAGCCCTTGACACGCGAAGTAGTACTCAGGATACGACGAGAAAATGTCCTTCAGTATCAGCTTAAAAACTCGAAGAATGAATTTTTGTTCGATTGTGTACGAAGTTGGCTCTCCCACGTCTTTTCATAGTAATACTGCAGCTATGGACCTGAGAATTTGACAGATTGTGCCTGCTGCGGCGGCGCCTGGCCGAACTCTTCGCGGTCGTCGCTTACACGTGGCTCTTTCGTGAGCCCGTCGTTGGGCGGCCGCGGGAGCAAGAACGAGCCGGCGGATTTGCTGGCGAACTGCGTGACGAGCGCGGGCGTCGACGTCGGCACCGCCGGCGTGGTCGATCGCCTGCGCGTGCTTCCTAAGCTGATGGGCCTCCAGGTGTGCCCCAGATTTCGTAATATATGGAGGGGGGTCTCATTTCGGGGGGGGGTCTCTTCCAGGCTATCTTGGAGGGCCTGGGGGGTCTGGGGACGATGTTTTGGAGGGTTCTCCCACGGGGGAGGTCTGAAGTGGCTTGTCTTGGAGGGTCCAGACCCCCTCTCTTTTATTACGAAATCTGGAGTACACAGACGGCGGTTTCATGCATGGCCGTGCCGCTGCCGGCGCTGCGGATGCTATTGTTGGGGAATCCCACGAACATCGGCCGCGCCACCGCGCGCATCCTTGGATCGAGCGGCACCTTTCCTCCAAGACGGCACCTCCGAAATTGCCGCTGTGAACCACGCGGCCAAGTTCTTTGCGCAGCTGTGCCAGCAAAGCCTTACTCGGCGGCAGCTGGGCGAGCGACCGGCTGAACGTGTTCTTTTCGAGTGATGGTTCAATTCGCCAGTGGATCTACTAATGAACTGCACGTGTAGATTGCCATTGCCAATCAAAGTAAGTACTGTTGTTTCTAGTTGCAGCGAAGCGAAATTCCGCAACTAATCTGAGGAAGGGCGGTCTACTATTGAAAATTTGACGATTGAACGTTGTGTTTTTGGAAGTGTTCGGGCCTAGGGGGGAGGGGGTCCCAAATATTCGCGTAATTTTCGCACTGGTTTCTCCAACCGCCGTCCCTCCGCACTGTTAGCACCCCACATTCATCATACGCAGCAGTCGACATCCAATGGACGGCGGCGCGCCACCCTGGAGATGTGTGCTAAGCGTGTCAGGTGCGTCACGTGCGCCAGGTGCTCTGGGTGTCCGATCGTGCCAGGCGCGCCTGGTGCGCTAAGATGCGCAAATTTGGCCGAATGCGCAAACCGACAGCCATGACGAAGAGATCGAGGAACGAGGAGGACGACGCACGAGGGGACAAGAGAATAGGAGTTTCAGGGAGGATGAGGCGGAATGGAAAAGGACGACGAGCAGTGTGCGATGCCTTCCTTTCCATGCCCGTTCTCCCCACCCACCTCACCCTCCTCCTCCCGTGGCGATGAGAAGCCCCCCAAATTTCCAACAAGGCCAACATACACCAACAGAGGCCAATAGACCACGACGACGATGGCGGCGGCGAGGGCGACGAACGCACGACGAGAAACGCGGGTAGGTGCGCAGCCACCAGCTCTGTTTGCAGCTCCAGCGCGCCCGCGCCCTGGAGCTGAAGGGCGCGGTGGACGCGGCCGACGAGAGGCTCGTCGTCGCCGTCATCATCGCCGTCGTCCTTAAACGCAAGTCATCGCTCTTCGGGCGAGCTGCGGCCAGCCGCATCGCTAGCCGCGACATTTTGAGACATCGACGTCGAGGAAGTACCTGATCGGGCGCCGTTCCTAAAGCGACAGCGTCTCTCGCTCCATTACTATCGCGGAGGCCTCGGAGGGCCCCTGAAGACCCTCCAGAGGCGTGTCGTCGCAGTTTTCCTCTCGCACCGTCCCTATTGCGGAGGCCTCGGAGGGCACTTGGAGGCCCTCCAGAGGCCTAGGAGGCGCCCCTGGACCGTCCACTGCCCAGGTGTTCGGTCTGGTCAGTCCTCGCCGCTCGTCGCCGATGCTCCACGGCAGATCTTATGAGCATCGTGCATGTCCATACCTGACGAACGAGCAACACACACCCATACCCATAGGGGGGTCGTTGAGAGGAGGACTGGCTATGGGTATGGGTGCGGGTTGTCGGACCCTTGCGGAACGCTCCCGTTCGAGCGGGGACCCCCATCCGACAACACGCACCCATAGCCCTCTCCGACCCCCCTATGGGTATGGGTGTGCGTGCGTTGTTGGTTCGTCAATATCCATGACCTCGCGGTCCAGATCCCGGGGCGCGGTCCCACGGATGCGCCTTCTCGTGCACACCTTCCGCGAGGGGTGTTCGCGCAACGCCGCCCCGCATCCACTCGGAGGAGGGTCTGGCCCGCGAGGCCGTGCGCGTGGATGCGCTTCCTGGCCACGAAGGCCGCAGGCGATTCCTCAGGAGGGGAAAAAACACACAGACACAATTAATTGTCGATCCCCAGGAAAATATGGGAAGATATGGGAAGTGGGGGAAAACAAAACCCTGAAAATGTGGGGAAACGTGGGGAATCTTTTTATTTGTGTGTATTTATTTGTGTGTCTCAGGACCCCTTCAATTCCTCGCCTTCGATCCCCGAGCTTGTCCCTCCGCAGAGAGTCGGTCGCTCGTAAGAGGAAGGCATGCCCGGGGACACACACACACACACACACCCACACCCGAGAAGCTTTGCGCACGCGCTCCTAGAAAGGATGAGCACCCTATCATCGGACATCTCCCACTCGGGCCAAGAATTCGATGTCCAGCCGAGCATCCCACGGAGTCGGGCACCTGGGGTCGCCACGCCCCGCGTTTCAGAGTTCAAGCCGCCGCCCCCCTCCCCACCTGTAGGCGACGCCGAGAAACTGGGCCGCCTGCGCAGACACTCGCGCGCACGCCGCCCGCGCGAGGTCGCGCGTAAAGCTGCCCTCGCCTCCACTGCGGCGTGCCGCGCCGGCGGCCCGCTGACAGTCAACCCGCATATCGGGGGCACCCAAACGGGGTGGTGACCACACCGTGTGGTGAGTCGGTGGGGATTCGGGGTCACCGCACGGTTTTGGGACTCGAGGCCTTCTCCGAGGACGTCTCGGGCGACTGGGGCCTCCGGTGTCCCAAAACCGTGCGGTGACGGACCGTGCGGTGAGGTCCTGGGGGATTTCGAGGTCATCGCACGGTCTGTCACCGCACCGCTTCGGGACTCCAAAGCATAGTAAGGACGGGCAACCTTCCCAAGGGTACCCTTGCATCCTTGCATCCTCGGGTGCATCCTTGGCCACGTTCGTCGGCCGCGCCCCGCTCGAAAGCTACGGAATGGGCTTCCAAGGGCCTTGCATCCTTATCGCGCATCCTTGCTGTACAAGTTGACTGCAGGCCGCGGCGCAAGGTCGCCACGCCATCTCGCGCAAGACCCGTCTGTGACGGCCGCTCGCCTGCTGGCGCGGCGAGAGGCTCCTGAGGCTGCTGCTGGCCGACGCCGAGCGCAACCGCCACCGGGTGGTGCACCTGCGCGCGGAGGCCCGCAGTTGCGCCCGGCGCGCTCTCGCGGCTCTCGGGTGCCTCCCTCCCCCCCCCTCCCTCCTCCCTCTCCCCTCCTCCCTCCTCCCTCTCCCCTCCTCCCTCCTCCCTCCCCCTCCTCTCTCTCCCCTCCTCCTCCTCCTCCCCCCTCCTCTCTCCTCCCTCCTCCCTCTCCTCCTCCCTCCCCGTCCTCCCCCCTCCCCCCCCTCCCCCCCCCCCTCTCCCCCCTCCCCTCCCCCTCCTCCCCGCCTCCCCCTTCCCCCCTCCCCCCCCCCCTCCCTTCTCCCCCGTCCCGCATCCACCTCCCGCTCCTTGGCACGAGGTCATGAGAGGCAGGCTGCACGCCCCGCGAGCGAGCCCCCCGAAGAGTTTCGGGATGCCAGTGGGGTGGCCTTCGGAGCCCTTCCCTCGGAAGACCTCGGGATGGCATTCGGGTTGCCCATCGGAGGCCTCCAGAGGTCCCCCCGAAGGGCTCTGTCGGGAGCCTCGAGACGGGGGTCAGTGCAGACGGGAGTCAGCCAGGGCACCGGATCCTGCAGGATCCTGCGAAGACCCCCTCTGGCTGACCCGGGTTAGCGAGCCGCGAGGCGGCCGCGCCTGTTGGCTGACCTGGGTTTGCGAAGACCTGCGCTGCAGTTTTTTTGCTCCTGCACTGTAGTTTTTTTGGTTTCCTGCTGACCCGGGTCTGGATTGACCCTGGTCAGAAGATCCCCGACTCTGGAGACCTGCGGGGACCTCTGGAGACCTCTGGGCCGACGAGCACGACTTCCGCATCCCATGCCATGTGCCCTCGCGGTGTGGAACCCGAGGCGCGATCCCATCCGTGGTTGTGCGATATCGTGGATGCGTTCCGCGCGTGGGCGACCCGCGCACGGCCGCCCCGTATGTCTACGGGCTCCGGGCCGAGGAGTCTGGACCGCGAGGCCGTGGGCATGGAGATTCACGCAGGGCGAAAGATTTCCCCCTGGAGGTGAGAATGGCGATGTTGAGTTCGACGGATAACATCGGCGCCGCCGAACGGACGGCTTCTGGACGAGTTGTGTGCAACTCGCCAACTCGCCCAGGAGGAGAGATATGCATTCATGTTGTTGCGTAAGGCCCCCGCGCGCGGAAAGTTGATGGGAGTGCGCGAGGTAGCACAAGACCCATCTTGGGACGTTGATGACCGAACCCCCTTCTCCCGTAGAGTCTTAACACGGGCGGGTTCCAGGGTCCGCACACCCCATTTCGTCCGGTTCTCCCGTTTTTTATTTCATGCTATAGATTACAAAGCGGGGAATAAAACGGGATCCGCCGTAAAAAAATATCCTGGCGAAGGACCCAACCATATGCAGTTGTAAGTACGGCAATTGTGAATATTTTCTTCGGCGGCGCTCCCTATGAGGCCACGAACCGTATGAGGGGTGTGCCGAACCGTGGCGGGGTACACAACGCAAAGGAATACGACAGGTCGAAAACCCAGAGACTGAACGCGGGCGAGTCAGAGCGTGAGTGAGTCTGAGTGTGAATGAGTCTGCGTGGGAGCGAGTAGATTTGCGTGGATGCGATCATGGCTACGCCTAATGTAAATGTATATTAATGTGAATGGTTCGGGCATGCCTGTCCGAACGCTCGTGACTCTGGGCGTGGCCGCCGCAGGCAGCTTCCGCGGGAACCCCGACGGCAGCGCCCGCACGCCGCGACGCCCATGTCGGCACGCCTCTTGCGAGGATCGCGCCCGCTTTCGTCCCTCCTTTTCCTCCCTCTTTGCCCGCGCACTCCAAAAATCCAAGGCTGCGGGCGCAGCGCAGCGCGGAGTCCCCGCGACGCGCGCCGGTCGCCCCAGGCGGGGTCCCAGCGACGCGCGCGGGTCGTCTGCTGCGCGGAGCAGAGAGCTGGCTAGCTAACTGGCTGGCTGATAGCGGGCAAGGCTCTGACTGCTGGGCAGAGCGACGGCGGGCGAACGAGGCGCCGGGCGCCCCGCAGCACGGAGTTCCCGCGACGCGCGCAGGTCGCCCCGAGAGGGTCCCAGCGACGCGCGCGGGTCGTCCGCGGCGCGAGGCCAAACAAAGAGTCGGGCAGTCGAGAGAAGGCGCGGCTCGGGGGGGACGCTCCTCAGGTCAGGCCTCGCGGATAAACTCGGTGAAGCCGAGCTCCCCGGCGAGGGCCGTCGCCTCCCTCCTGCAACGCTTCGTGCGCGCCGCAAACTGTCGTCCACGAAGGGCGCGCTCGCGTACTTCTCCATGCGCACCCAGGACCCCAGTGGCAAGCGCTTCAGGTAGATCCTCTTCTCCCCCTTTCTCTCGGCTCTCTCGACGTCGTCCCGATCTCGAGGGTCCACGACGATGTGCACGATCTGCCCCTCGGCATCCTTGACGAGGCCGTTCTTGAGGTCGAGCGCTTCCAGGAGCCGGATCCGCATGTCCACGTGCACCGGGAGCAGCCCGTGCATGCCACCAGTGTTCTTCGGGTTGGCACTGTTCATCATCTTGGCGGCGTCCTTGACGCTCATCGTCGGCGCAGACCTGTCGGCGGCCTGCACGAGGAAGAGGGGCTTCTTCAGGACGTCCGCGTCCCGCTGAGCACGCATGTTCATCCACCGCGCCACGGTGTCCCAGTAGGACCCGATCATGTGGCCGTTCTGGAAACTCTCCTCCCGGAGCCGGCGATCATCGGGTTTCAGCTGCATGGCGTTCCACGTGGCGCGGATGGCCGGAGGGACCTGCTTCCCCGGTTTGCGCAGGAACGCCATGAGATCTCGAAGCTTGGGGTCTTTGAAGCGGTTGGACGCCTGGAGCTCGAAGCACAGCGGCGTGTTGCAGAAGAGCTTCATCACTGCCTGGTACTCTGGGGCGAGGTTGATGCCCGCCGCCGCCAGTTCCTCGAAGCTGGAGATGAGCGACACCTTGCCTCCCGTCGGCTTCAGCTGCAGGAAGTCCCCAAGGTGGATCACGATGGGCATCCAGCCGAAGGCGCCGCCGACCTGGTCGTGCTCCCGCCCCTCCGCGCCCCACTCGGCCTTTCGTCCCAGGTAGGACCGGAACGCCAGCATGTTGTACAGGTTGGGCGAGATCATGCTCACCTCCTCTAGGATCAAGCACCTTACCGCCTCCCACGTGTCCTGCAGCGCTTTCAGCTTGCCCCCCGCGGGTATGTCTTAGTTCCTGAAGGACTGCACTCCGATGGCTCCCGCCCGGTGGCAACTGACGGCCTTGTGAGCGTCCGTGGAGATGTTCGCGGCCTGAGACCACTTCGCGCAGACTATCAGCGTGGACTTTGCATTGCCCGTTTCCACAGGGAACGGCGCGTCCATGGCCGGCAGCACGATCTCCTGCACCATGGCGGTCTTCCCGCTGCCGCCCTGGCCGAGGAGCAGGAACTGGAACGTCTTCCGCTTCGCGTGCTTGGCCATGCTGCCGTCCTCGATCTTCTGCTCCTCGTCCCACACCACGTTGCAGGCGTTCGCGAACGCCGTGACGAACAGGGCCTGGTCGGGCTTCAGAGGGCGGCGCTCCTGCTTCCCCGTGATCGGGTTGACCGCGCCGTCCTCGAACTTTTTGACGAGGCGCTTGACGAGGTCGCTGGGCCGCTGCAACTCCTCCGACGGCTCCCACCGCGCCTGCGCCGCCTCGGCCGGCATCGCGCCAGCGCCCGCTGCCCCGACGTCGTCTGGCGCGGGGGCGTCTTCCGCGGGCACGTCCGCGTCCTTCGTGCCCCCCTTGGCGAACCCCTTCCGCTGGGTCTCCACCAGGTCCTTCAGCTCGTCTGCGTCGAGGTCGCGCAAGGCCCTGAACGGAGCGAGGACGTCTTCCTTCAGAGCGCGGGCTGCGCGCCGCGACGCGTCGGCGTCAGTCGGCCCGGGCAGCGCTCCGTTCTCCATCATCGTGGTGGCCTTCTTGAGCTCCCTCACGAAGGCCTGCGCGCGCTCGGCGGTGTCGAAGCGCAAGATCTGCCCGAGCGTCTCGGGGTCGAAGTGATGCTCCAGGACAACGTTGGCGCCCAGCTTCGCGAAGCCGTCCTGAGCGCGGATGCCCTGGGCCTCCATCTGCGCGGCGCCCTCCCCCGAATCCTCGGCGCCCTCCCGGAACACGGGGGCCTCCGCGACGTGCGCGTCGTCCTTCTGCGGCCTCTTCGGCTTCGAAGCCTTCGCCATGGAGATGCCGTCGAAGTTGGCCGCGGTCTTCGTGGTCTCCAGGGCCAGGTACTCCTGCACCGTCAGCATGCTGTCCAGCCAGTTGCCCAGCTCCGTGCACTGGGCGCACCGGCAAGGAGGCTGCACGTCTTCGCGGCGGTCGCTGCGCTTTTCGCGCAGCGCGGACTCGACCTCCCCCGTGTTCCAGATGCTGGGCGTCGCCCACGACCCGACGTCATTCCTGAGGCACTTCGCCCGGGCCGTCTTCGCCAGTTGCTCCTGGGCGGTGGCGAACGTCTCCCAGCCGCGCTGGAACGGGCCCGCGACGCCCTCCCCCGCCGGCTGCGCCGGCCACTCCGGCTCGCCCTCTGGCGCCGCGCACAGTTGCTCGTACGCGCGCAGGTAGCGCAGCTCCTTCGTGTCGCTGGGCCCGTCGGCGTCCGGCAGGTGCACTGGCCGGAGCAGCGCCGACTTCATGAGATAGTGCGTCTCCACGTTCGACTCCGCGCTCACGAACTGGAAGCCGTCGGCCTTCGGGATGCGCGGCTCGACGGCCAGCCTCTGAGTCCAGTTCCGCGCCGCGGAGTAGGACGAGTCGAAGGCGATGTCGACGTGCAGGGTGCGACCCCCGCTGCCCTCGGGATCCAGCTCCCCGGCCGGAAGGGCGTGCAACGGCAGTTCCACGCGGTACACCCAGATGCTGTAGACGTACAAGCTCATGTCTCGGACAATAGGGTGGTCTCCGCGGTGCATCCAGTCGTCGTGCTGGCTCGGCACTGCGCCCCTGAACTTGCCCTGCGCGAGGCCCTCGACAGTCGGCCCCGGTGCCTCGGGCACCTCTTCGGCCTCGCCTTCCCGCATCTTGTTCAGCGCCTTCGTCACGTCGCGCAGCGAGCCGCCGCTGGCGTTCGCTATCTGGAACGCCTGGTGCGCGTACTCGATCGTGTCGAACTCCTCGCCGTCGGGGCTGACGTGCACCGTCTCGCCCTCGCGCTGCACCTCGCGCCACCCCGGCATCGCGACCTGCTGTCCAGTGCTGGGGACCGCGTACGTGATCGAGGCGGCGGGCGCGCTTTCCGCGGCGTCGGCCTGGCCGTATCGCCTGCGCCAGGACCCCGCTGCCAGGTAGATGGATTTCCGCATGGACACCTTCCAGCAACGGTGCGTCATGAAGGAGAGGTGCCCGAAGAGCATGGGGAAGACCATTTCGCTGCCGCTCTTCCAGGAGGCCCTGCGGAAGCAGGTCTCGAAGCGGGCCAACACCTGCAGCGTGCGCTTGAAATCCTCCTTGCGCTTTCCTGCGGCGGTCGACTGGGCCTCGTCGCCGGCGCCGCCTGCGGCCTGCGCCCCCGTGTCGTCCCACTGGCTCTTCAGGCGGCGCACGCCGTCGAGGAGCTTGCAGGGCACGTCGTCCATGCTGGGGTTCACCTTCGTGGTGTATGAGTTCACGCAGTAGCTCGTGTTGTGGGCGTCCACGAAGGTGGCCAGCGCGTGCCGCTCCAGGTCGCGTTGGAGATCGGCGCGCGCAGCGTCGCCACCGCCCACGGCGGGGCTGTCGCGGTTCGCGAGCTCCCTGAAGATCTCGCGCCAGCCGGTGACTACGTTGAGGTCCCACTTCTCCGCGGACGCGGTGTTCAGATGCTGGAACCATCCCCAGTCCTCCCGAGCACCCACCGAGAAGTCGGCGTAGCGCTGAGGGTAGAGGCCATGGTTGTAGCTCTTGCGGTCCTCCTCGTTTGCCGGCGGTTCCAGCTCGGACGCATCCATCCACAGGCGCGGTGGCAGCACCCGTCTCATGTCCTGCACGTGCACATTGCACCGCGCCGAGACGACAGCCGCGTACTTCGTCGAGGTCTCCCCGGGGTGGAGCTGGAAAGTGACGATGCGCCCGGCCATGCCGTAGTCCGTCTCCCGGAAGATGCCGATGCAGCCGCGCAGAGCCTTCCCGCGCGCGCGGAGCCGGCACTCTTGTGAGCCCCCCCCCTCGGGCCACGTGCACAGTGCACAGCGTCACCAGGTTGTAGAAGTTGTGGCGGCAGATCTGCGAGCCGCGCGTCTTGTCGGAATGGTACTTGTAGCAGGAGGGGCTGCAGGCGTGGATGCCGCAGCCGATGACGAGCTCGCGCGCGTCGCGGCACATCTCGCGAATCCACTCGTCGCTCGGGAGAGACTCCGCCAGGGTGCCCCCGCCGCGGTACCTCGGGAAGATGCCGGAGGCGCTGCTGGAGAGCGGCCGCCGCCAGTACCCCTTGTTCTCTTCGGCCCTCTGCTCTGTCCACGCCGCGTCGCCGTCCACGGCCTCCCCGTCGTTGTTGCGCAGCGGCAGATCGGGGCGAATCGCCCTGTGGTAGTCGTCTACCTTGGGCTCGTAGAACCAAAGCTCCTGCGGCTCCGTCTCGCCTTCGGCCCCGAGCTGCTCTGCAGTCGCCATTTCCGCGCCCCCGTCGGCTCTGAAGTACCGCTTCTCGTTGGGCCCGAACGGCAGCGGCGGCACCACGACCCCGCGCTTGTTCTCGCCCCCCTGCAGCTGCAGGGGCAGCAGCTCCACGGCGCTCTGCTGGGCGGCGACCACGGCCTGCACCACCTGCCGCATCCACAGGTTCAAGCGCCCCTGGAAGCGCGCCTCGTCGCGCTGCAGCATGTCCAGGAGCACGCGCAGCTGACCCTGCAGCAGCCAGATGAGGATGTGCGGGTGCAGCGAGCCGCGGCCCTGAGCCTCGACCGGACCGAAAGCCGCTGCAAGGGGGCCGAACACCGTGGGCACGCCCATGAGGTCGGCCGCCACGCCGTCGGAGATCCAGTGTTCCGAAGTCTTTCGAACTTCTCCTCGCCGCCACCCGACGGTCTCCGGGCGCAGGCCGAGGACGTGGACGAAGAACCGTCTCATCATCAGCTCGAACACCACGGCCTGGCCCACGGGGTCCGCGGCGATGCGCTGCGACATCTCGCTGAACGTGACTTGCTCCGCCTCGGTCAGGTCGTTGCCGAAGGTGTACTCCTCCCCCTGCACGATGAGGATCAGGGGCTGCTTGGTGTCTGCCAGATTCGGGGTGACGAACTGGACGGGCGGGCCGAAACGCAGGGCATGCGCCTCGCCCTCTCCGCGCAGCTCCCGCCTGTGTCCGTCGGGCCCGACTTGACTGGCAGTGGCCTGGCCCAGGGTGGCGAAGGCCTTGCGCACCTCGTTCGGGGTGTCTTTATCCTTGAGGATGCCGTGCAGCGTGGCCTTCCCGCCCGTCTGCTGCGCCCTGAGCTGCACCTCCTCGATCATCTCCGGCGTGATGTCCGCGCAGGCGCGAGCGGCCCCGAACGCCCCGGGCGTCTTCATGAAGGTGTAGGTACTGTTGGTCGTCTCCGTGACTCTCCAGAAGGAACACAGCAGGTGCACGTCGTACCAGGAGCTCCGGAAACGACTGATGGGCCTGGCCACGTACCTCTCCTCGTCGGCAGGCGCGTCGTACTCCATCTCCTCCCGAGTGAGAAGATTCTTGACGAAGTGCGCCACGCTGAAGCAGAGCCGAGCCTCCTTCTGCTTCTGCGGGCCCTCGTCTCCGTCTGGAGGGAGCTGGCCGAGGCCCCAGGCGCAATCCCCGTAGCAGAAGTCTGTGGGCCTGGCAATCGACCAGTACTTCGGATTCCACCAGCTCTCCGCCTTCCTCGAAGTTGGCACCCGAAGCCTCGCCTTTCGCTGGCCGTCGGGGCCGGGCGGTCCCTGCAAGAAGCGCGGGTCGTCCTCGGCGGGGGTCCCCGCGACTCCTGCAGGTCGCGCCGGGTCGCCCACGCCCTCCTCCGCCTGGCAGTTGTTCGTCTCCAGCGCTTGGACGCGCCAGTGCAGCTTTGCCATGTCCTCCCCAGGGGAGATCTTCCGACAACGCGCGTGGAATTCCTGGCAGAGGTCCCGCAGGCGGTGACGCCCGATCTCGTCCAGCTGCAGCGCCCTATCCTCGCCCCCCTGTTCCTCGAGCCTGGACATCAGCTCGTTGGCCACCACGCGCCCCGCCTGACTCTCCATCCTCTCGAGCATACCCTGGAGCGCCGGCAGGGACGTGAGCTCGCTGCGGTCGTCCATGTGGTCCTCAAGGACGGACAGCCACTTGGTCAGCTCCTGCGCGTCCTCGGCGGCCGCGCTCATCTCTGCCTGCGCGCCGGTGGTGGCCGACGCGGGCCCCTGCGCCTGCGCGACGTCGTCCAACGCCGCGTCCGCGGGACGACCGTCCCGAGTCGGGGGGACTCTGGCATTCGTAGGCTCGCCGCCCGCCGCGCGCTGGCCGGGCGCCGCGCAGATGCCCCCGAAGGGGAGCGGGGCCGAATACAGGGTCAGAGTTATCGAGAAACCGCGACTAGCGGGCTCGAATTTCCAGGTCCGATTGATATCGAGAAAGGGGTCGCGCTTGCATGGGCCCCTGCGGGACACGGAGGACGCGGCCATGGCTGATCGGAGGCGGATCGAGCGCGCTCCAGATCGGCGCGCGGAGCTCCATCGCTTGCAACCGGAGCCCGCGCGGATCTCGGGGGATGGCCCGCAGACGCCGCAGCGCTTTCGGGAGGGTTCAGTTCGGCGCAGGATGACGGGGAAGCGGGCGGCGTCGCCGCTCCAGCCCCCGACGCCGGGCGCCCCCGTGAAGGCGGCTCTACAGACGCCAGGCCTTCCTGCCGCGGGCGCGCGCGGCCAGAGGACCCCCGGGTCGGCGCGCAGCCAGGGGCCGACTCCCCGGGCAGCGGGGGGCCGACAGGATCGAGCTGCCATGGCGTTCCGCGAGGTCTTGGCTTGGCACGAGCAGCACCGCCGCATGCCGTTGCGCACCCATGACGGGATTGAAGATGAGCTCGCGCAGAAGTGGCGCAGGTGGAGAACTTCCGCGCGGCTGACGCCGGCTGCGCGGGGCCTGAAGATGCGCATCGAAACGCTGGCGGCGCAGTCGGAGGCAGCGCGGCAGGATGACCGTCGCGCCGCGCGCGCAGAGCACGCGCTGCTGATGCTGCGCCAGCATTGGTGCGAGGGGAACGACGTCCACGACGAGGACCGTTGGAGGCAGCCTGCCCTGCATCGGTCTCGCGGCGGCCAGCACCCGTACCCGGGCCTCTCGAACCTGTGCAACACCTGCTACCTCAACGCGCCCCTGCAGTGCCTTCTCCACTGCCCCGCCGCGCGCGCCGCGCTCCTGGGGGCGGAGGGCGAGGGCGATCCGCCGGTCGTGCAGGACGCGGGGTGGGGGGAATCTTGTCGATAGCTTGGCTCCAGCACGGCCTCTGGTCGACTTTTGTGTTCTTCCCTCCGCGGCAGGGGAGGGGAGGCGATTGGCGCGTGGACAGGGGGGGCGGGGGGCGGGGGGGGCAGTCGGCATGGGTTTCGCGCCCTTCCTCGAGGAGCTGCGCGCCCTGGCCGCCGCCTGCGTGCGCGGGGCGCCGCCGCCCGCGGGGGGCGTCGGCGGCGCCGCGCCAGCGCCAGTCCGCGTGGACCGTTGGTCCCCGCACGCCTTCGTGGACGCGTTCCTCGCGAAACACTTTCTCTTCAAGCTGGGGAGGCACGAGGACGCGGGCGAGGCGCTGTCGTTCATCCTGGAAGACGCGGCTGGTCTCGCCAGCCTCTTCCAGACCGGATACGACGAGGAGGTCATGATGAGGCTCCCAGCCTTCGTGGACGGGGCAGACGACGGCGACGACGCCCTGGGGGCGCGCAGAGATTGGACATGCGAGAGCTGCTCCGCCGCGGCGCCTCCATGGGCGGGCGACTGCGATCGCAGCCCGAGTTGCTGGCGGTCCACGTGCCCCAGAGGTGGGAGCGGGGCGACGGCGCGGCGCTCTTCCTCGGCGGCTGCGACATCGCGCCCTGCTGGGGCGAGCTCCCAGAGGTGGCTCTGAGGGCGGGGGGGGGAGACGTCGCGCACCGCCTGCGCGCCTACGTGCAGTACATCCTGCCCGAGGGATCGGAGGCCGTCCCATCCCACGTCCTGAATGACCCCCAGGGCCACTTCGTGCCTCACTTCGAGGAGGACGGGAGCTGGTACACTGCAGACGACCTGGGCGATCGGCCGCACGTGGTCCAGTGGACGCCTGGCACCCAGCACAAGATACCTTGCATGATCTTCCTTGAGAAGGTGGACTCCAGGGCGGCCCGCGCCGAGGCGTGCCCGTGGCCGCCCGGGCCGGTCGTCGACGGCCCAGGGGGCGCGGGCGGCGACGGCGACGGCGACGCGGACGGCGAGGACAGCCCCGGCCTCGACGGGGAGTGCGAGGAGGAGGAGGAGGACGGGGCCGGCGACGCCGGCGTGCCGGGCGCGCGGAAGCGGCCCGCGGCGTCCACGAGGAGCGGCGCCCCTGCCAAGAAGCGGCTCCGCCTCCGAGGGAAACAGAGCGCAGCTGGACGGCAGCAGACCTGCGCCGGGAGGCAGCAGAGCCGCGCTGGGAGGCAGCAGCAGCAGAGCCGCGCCGGGAGGCAGCAGAGCCGCGCTGGGAGGCAGCAGCAGCAGAGCCGCGCTGGGAGGCAGCAGGAGGATAAGCAGCGCGGTTGCAAGCCGGAGGAGGTGCTCCGGCAGGGGCGGAAGCCGAAGAGCAAGGGCGACAACGCCGGCGGGTCCAGGCAGGACGCCCAGAACAACGCCGCCGCCCCTGTCCTGCGCAGCGGCAGGGAGGCGAAGAGCTTGCTGACCGCCAGCGAGGAGCGCCGGAAGTGCGGAGACCTCTTCCTGCTCCTGCACCTGCTGGAGCCGCTGGTCGCTGCCGATGACCTGCTGAAGCACTACCCTGACTTCTTCGTCTACGCGGGCGACGACTGCACCCGCCGATGGGCGACGTTCCTGCAGGCGCCCGATCGACCCGACAAGTTGGCAGGCAGATTGCGGGAAGCGCTCGGGGTCACGGAGAACGAGATTTCCGACGCCAAGCGCCGACTGGAGAGCGGGGAGTGGTACGCGCACCACGTCGCGGAGCTCCTGGACGAGCGCCTGGGCTCCGCCCACGGCGCCCACTCCGTGGCGGCCGCGGTCCGCCTGGCGGCGAGCGACGCGTCGGCCGCGCTGGGCGACGGCAACCCGCTGAGGGCGCACCTGGCGGAGGCGTGGCATCGCAGACCCTGCAACCACGGCCCGCCCCGGCACGCCGCCATGCCTGCGCGCCTTCGGGATCGCTCTGAGTGGTTCCAGTACCCCGCGCCTGCGCTGCATTATGCCTGCCGCATGTGCGAGGCCGAGCTCCCCAACAGGGAGGCGTTCAAGGCGCGCCAGGGCAGAGTCCACGGGGGGCAGCGGTGGACCAGTCATGACAAACATTCGGGGGCCCTCATTTTTGTCATGCGACACGTCGCCGCGACATTATGGCTGACGTCCTGTGGATCGAAGCAACTGCGCAAGTCGCATGCGCGACGGTTTTTTTCACGTCGCCATAGGAACCCACTGAAAAGCAGGAGACCTCCAGGATTTTATATTCAAAATCCTGGAGGTATCCCGGCAACGTTTCCGCAATGAGTTCGAAACAAATCAATAGAACGTCCACGTCGAAACCTCAGCGCGCGGATTTTTCCCCAAGTGGATTTTGCTCTGACACGCCACGCGCGCCGGCGCGCAGACGGGGAAGCAATCAAGGCGGGGCACAAAACAAATCAAACCGACATGGGAACCACATTTTCAACATAGAAGTGGTCGGTAAGAACGCCCATATGACAGACAAACAAAAGACAGGGTGGGCCGACCTGGGAAACGAAATTGCAAGGCGAGCCACGTTTTTGAACATGTGCGATAGTAACAGCACAGACGGAAAAGCGTCTGCGCAAGGCGAGCACCCCAGCGACCCCCAAAAATAATTTTCACTAATTTCGCGATGGTCTTGTCCTTATACGCACTCGGAAACTCTCCACGAACGCACGGCGAACCCCATCTACTTGGCAGAACGCAGAATTGAAAAATCGGCGTCAGTGACGCCGCAAGGCGAACACCCCAACGACCCCCCCGAAAGAAAATCTTCAAAAATCCGCGACGGTCTTGTCCTTCTACGCGCTCGAAAACTCTCCTCGCACGCATGGCAAACCCCATCTACCTGGCCGGACGCGGAATTGAAACATCGGCGTTAGTGACGCCGCAAGGCGAACACCCCAACGACCCCCAAAAACCAATTTTCAAAAATCCGCGATGGTCTTGTCCTTCTACGCATTCGAAAACTCCCCACGCACGCATGGCGAACCCCATCTACCTGGCTGGGCGCGGAATTGAAACATCGGCGTTAATGACACCGCAGGGCGAACGCCCCAACGACCCCCAAGAACCAATTTTCAAAAATCCGCGATGGTCTTGTCCTTCTACACAATCGAAAACTCTCCGCGCACGCATGGCAAACCCCATCTACCTGGCAGGGCGCGGAATTGAAAAATCGGCGTTAGTGGCGCCCGTGAAAGCACGCACACGACGTGAAACGCAACCCATCAGAACGCGCTCTTGTGAACGACGACGACGACGGCGGCGGCGGCGTCGGCGTCGACAGCGGCGCGACGACGACGTCGACGACGACGCAGCACGACGACGACGACGCCGACGACGACGACGACGGCGGCGACGACGACGACGACGGCGACGACGACGACGGCGACGACAACGACGACGACGACGACGACGGCACCGACGACGACGACCACGACGACGATGACAACGGCGGCGGCGGCGGCGACGACGACGACGACGACGACAACGACGCCGACGACGACCTCGACGACGACGACGACGACGACGACGACGACGACGATGACAACGAGGACGGCGGCGGCTGCGGCGGCGGCGGCGGAGAGGGCGGCGACGGCGACGACGACGGGAAAGGTCCGGGGGCCCGTTCCGAATGGATTTGTTGGGGGGCAGGGGCCCCCTTCCGGCGGCGGCATCGGCGGCGACGACGACGACGACGACGACATCTGTCCAGATCTCTCACGTCGTGATGTTTTCAATGTGGAAGTTTTTCAGCGTCTTCGGCCTTTGAATTTTCAGCCAAAACGGCCACGGTCGAAGTGGCGAGCCAAAGCGGCCACGGAAGACAGGTCGGAGGAGAAGCAGGGGGAGGATGAGGAGGACATGAAGCAGAGCCATAAGCAGATCGGGGCCAGACGACGACGGCGGCGACGACGACGGCGGCGGCGGCGGCGAGGGATCCCCGACAAGCGAACATCAATGTTCATGGCTTTATGAGTCCGTTTGTACTGGTGGAGAAGCCATGAGGACACCCGTCGCTCAAGAATCCTAGGCACCGGTCGGGGCAAGCCACACGCCGCGATGGTTCGGATTCTTTGCAATGGATGGCTTCACAGCTAAGTGGACTCAACAAGCATGGACAATGATGCTGCGCGCGGGCAACAAAGAGAAGGAAGCGAGTAGGAGGGAAAGGAGGAGGAGGGGGAGGGGACCTTCTTTCCCGTTCCCAGCTAGATCTGGGCTCGCTCAAGCGCTGTGTGGGCTCGCCTCTGGCCTTCGATCTCGGCCCCCTGGGTCCGCCTTCGGGCCCCGGAACTCTGGCAAAAAATGATTACTCCGATCCTTGTGAGGGGTGTGCCGACATGGGGCGGGGCCGTCATGCGAACCCTACCACTGGCGCCTTCGGTGAAGCTCCCTATGAGGTCACGAACCGTGTGAGGGGTGTGCCGAAAAGGGGCGGGGCCGCCAAGCGAACCCTGCCACTGGCGCCTTCGGTGGAGCTTCCTATGGGGCCACGATTCTCGTGAGGGGTGCGCCGACATGGGGCGGGGCCGCCATGCGAACCCTGCCACTGGGGCCTTCGGTGGAACTCCCCACAGGGCCACGATCCTCGTGAGGGGTGCGCCGACCTGGGGCGGGGTCGCCATGCGAACCCTGCCACTGGGGCCTTCGGTGGAGCTCCCTATGGGGCCGCGATCCTCGTGCGGGGTGTGCCGAAATCGGGCGGGGCCGCCATGCGAACCCTGCCATTGTGGCCCTCGGTGGAGCTCCCCACGGAGCCACGATCCTCGTGAGGGGTGCGCCAATATGGGGCGGGGCCGCCATACGAACCCTGCCACTGGGGGCTTCGGTGGGGCTCCCTATGGGGCCGCGATCCTCGTGAGGGGTGCGCCCAAATGAGGCGGGGCCGCCATGCGAACCATGCCCATGCGAACCCTGCCACTGGGGCATTCGGTGGAGCTCCGTATGGGGCCACGAACCGTGTGAGGGGTGCGCCAAAATAATGCGGGGCCGCCATGCGAACCCTGCCACTGGCGCCTTCGGTGGAGCTCCCTGTGGGGCCACGATCCGTGTGAGGGGTGCGCCAAATTGGGCGGGGCCGCCATGCGAACCCTGCCACTGGGGCCTTCGGTGGAGCTCCCTATGGGGCCACGAACCGTGTGAGGGGTGCGCCAAAATGGGGCGGGGCCGCCATGCGAACCCTGCCACTGGGGCCTTCGGTGGAGCTCCCTATGGGGCCACGAACCGTGTGAGGGGTGCGCCAAAATGAGGCGGGGCCGCCATGCGAACCTGCCACTGGGGCCTTCGGTGGAGCTCCCTATGGGGCCACGAACCGTGTGAGGGGTGCGCCAAAATAATGCGGGGCCGCCATGCGAACCCTGCCACTGGGGCCTTCGGTGGAGCTCCGTATGGGGCCACGATCCGTGTGAGGGGTGCGCCAAAATGAGGCGGGGCCGCCATGCGAACCGTGCCACTGGGGCCTTCGGTGGAGCTCCCTATGGGGCCACGAACCGTGCGAAGGGTGCGCCAAAATGGGGCGGGGCCGCCATGCGAACCCTGCCACTGGGGCCTTCGGTGGAGCTCCCTACGGGGCCACGAACCGTGTGAGGGGTGTGCCGAAATGGGTGTGCAGGACGCATGCGGGCGGCAACACTGAGGCCTTCGGTGGAGCTCCCTATGGGGCCACGAAGCGTGTGAGGCGTGATGACAGCGAAGATGATGATGACGATAATGATGATGGTGGTGATGATGACGTCGATGGTGTCGATTATGATCATGGTGATGACGATGATGACGATGGTGATGGCAATGGTGATGGTGATGGGAGGGGGAGGAGGGGGGAGGAGGAAGGAGGAAGGAACGCGGGGCACCGTCTCTTCAAAACGAGGACCCAACACCACAGGATGGTTGGGAATCGGATCCGCCGTAAAAAAATAAGGCTGGACGCGGATCCAGAAAATCCGAAATCGGATCCGCGTGGGCGGAAATCGGATCCACCGACACAACAACCAGAACCACAACTGGATCTTTTCGATCTTTGTGGGGTCCGACGGCGGTTGTCTCATGCGCGTCTGCTCAAGACTTCAAACCGTTGTTCCGGGCCCAAGAGGGGAACATTGTCGCCCTGGGGATGCATGGATCTGGATATGAGTTGCGCCTACGATGAAGAAAGTGGAGAGGGTCTTCGAGGATGTTCCGCGATTTGGGGCTCTGCCAAGATCTGTTTCCACCAGGACCCGTTTGCTTTTTCCCAAGTGCCGTGCCGATGCTGGCCATGTGTGAGCATGTTTGCGAGGCTCAGATCTGCGCGAGCGTCAAACAACGTACGCTTGAACATGGCAACATCAGATCGCGGTACCATTCAATTGCTTTACAAGTGACTGCATTTGCGAAGCGAGTATTGCAACATTACGTCCGGATGCCTTGATGGGGATTGCACAGCTGTTGGTGTGAAGCGGCGGTCTTCGTGACAGGTGCTTGAGCCTACGGTCAGCAGTGGCAGGCACTTGAGAGGCAGGGCAGCGGATCTGATATATAAGCCAGAGCCGTGCCGAGTTCTGCATTGCCGTGCCGTCCTCGTCGGGGGGGGGGCAAGACCAGGCGGATGTGGAGGCATTTTGCCGCGTCTGTCATGGATGGCGCCCGTGGCAACGTTCTCTCAGGGACGATTCGGAGAGGCCGCGGCCCTGTGACGTCCAGAGTCTGGCCAGTCCCGGGGTGCTGTTGGCGCACTCGCTTGCGCCACCTCCGCGTCCAACTCCCAGGGCGTGCGCGAAGCCTCGCAGAGATGTTTCGTTCGAGGGCTCACCACATCGCAATCGCGGAAAGCTCTGCAAGATGACGTCGGCAGCTCCACCTTTGCCCGCAGCTCGCTCTCGTGACCTCGAGGCTGCCCCGCTGACCCTCCCCGCTGCCCGCGCTGAGGAGCAGCTGCTGGGGAGCCTGGCGTTCGCCAGGGCGAACGACCGCGATCTGGGGAAGGTGTTCTTCGAGAAGGCCAGCACGGGAGGGCCCCCCCCCACGCCGCTGTCGTTGTGGAGGACGATCAGTGGAGAGGAAGCATGTTGCCAACTAATCTTCAGATGTCTAAAAGATGTTTCAAACAGGGTTTAAATGTGTAAGAAAACATGTTCAGAACATGTTTAGAACACAAGTGAGACATCGTAGACACATCTTCCATTCAGTGATGGGACTGTTCGGATGACCATTGTCGTGGCATCGCTCGGACGTGTGCGTTTTTCCTTCGGCGAGGACCATCGAGCAGCATACTTGATCACTTGGCGAAAACAACACGCACGACACCAAACAAAAACACAGGGAAAGGACGTCCGAGCGATGGCGAGGTGCCCCTGGGAGGCCACGGGGTCGAGGCGCGGGCGGCACGCCGGGCTGCACAAGGTGCCCAGAGTTAAGTCGGGCCCGTCCCTCTACAGGGGCATGTTCGATAAGAAATAACAAATAAAATAAAAAATGAAAACATAGTCCAAACATAGTCTGGGGCCTATGTTTTGAGTATTTGCTGACCTTTTGGAAATATATTTTGGGTATTTTGCATTTTTCGCCGAAAATCCCCCTGTAGGGGGACACGCCCGACATAAGCCCATAGCCGTTCTCTGCTGTTTTCCGATCCGTTTTTCCGGAGGTGTTGCCCCCGCCGTGCTCTGCTCTCCCCCTTTCTCGGCCTCCTTTTCGTACCTGTGCTCGTCGTCTTCATCGTCCTCCTCCTCCTCCTCCTCCTCCTCCTCCTCCTCCTCTTCGCCTCCCCCGTCTATGTCCCTGTGTTTTAATTCTCCCACCCCCCTTGTCCACCTCCTCGTCGGCTCCCCCTTCTGTGTGCCTATACTTTGTCTCCTCCTCCCCCCCCGCATTCTTCCCCCGCTTTGCTCCGCAGCGTGTCAGGTCAGCCTCCAAAGGGGGGCGTTGAGCAGGGGACCGTCGCCCTGTCCGTTCTCTCTCTTGTGATCCTGCGAGAGATCAGATGCGCACTCTGTCTGTCGTTACGCTATCTTCGGACACTGATCATCGGGGCGATCAGTGGCCAAGAACCGCCCATGTTTGAGCCCTGCTGCAACGAAGCCAACAGTAGTAGTGATAAGGTTCCGAAGCCTTGGCGCCTTCAACTATGTCAATGCTTTTCAGCATCGATTGGATGAGCAGGAAGAGGCACATGACTCAAGAGAGGGGCTTCGGACCCTTCCCGGGATCTCGATCCCCGTCCCCAGGGCCGACTTTGTTTTATCTTGATCTGTGTTTGACCGTCCCTTGGCCATGAAACGGTTTCCAGAGGCGGAATTGTAGACAAACATCCGGCACCCGCATTCAGGGGCCCGATCGCTCCTACATGGTCATCTTGGTCAGTCTTCCCTTTCTGGGTCGAGTGTTGACGGTCCGCGTGGCCACCCTCCAGAGGCCGAAAACATCTCTCGATCATCGAACCTCGATCTGCGGCGCCAAGGTGAAGTGGTTCCAGGGCTGGAGAGTCGGAGGCGACAGCAGGGGCGGGTACAGACGCTGTAAGGACCACTTCGGGCTCAGAGGGGGCCCTAGTTTGGGCTCAAGAGACGGGGGTCATTGCAAACGGAGGTCAGTCAGAGCGCCGAATCTTGCAGGATCCTGCAGGGCCAGGGCTGCACTGACCTGGGTTTGGGTGCAGGATCCTGCCACATTTTGCAGGACCCTGCAAGGCCTAACTGACTCGGGTTTAGATTGACCCATGTCAGTACGACCCCGAGGTCAGGGAACTTCGTCGTGGCCGAGGCCCACCGCAGCCCTGAGAGCCTTTCATTTTCCTATTCAGCGTTCCTTGTGGCAGCGCGATGACTGCAGCCCCAGGGGTTGAAGTCGGCTGGGGGGCAGAGGTGGCCCAGCAGTGGTTTCGGTCAGCTGGAAGGGGGGTGAGGTTCGAGGTTCCAGTTTCGATGAGGTTTTTGCTCTCTGGGGGCCCCTATCGGGCCCCAGGACCGTCGAAAACAGATCCAGGGTGAACAAGATACACCAGATGGATCCCGGGAGTGGTCTGGGGGCAGATTTTGAGCGGATTCGCCCTCGACCCTCCCTTCTTGACAGATGTTCTCGGGGCCCACGCAGTGCAGACCCCCTTGCAGCCTCCAGCCTGAGGCTGGGCGCACCGTTCGCCCGGGAGCCTCACCGAATGCGCGGGCGATCGGGGCCCCTGGACGCATTTGAGGATGAAGGAGACGATTTCCGGGGGACACGGGTGCTTCATGCTTTTCCGCCGATTGTTCCTGTTCCTAAGGCCCTCTCCTCTCCCCGCGCGACCGCCCTCGTCTTTCTCCTCCCTCCTGCACGCCAGAGAATTCGCGTGTCGGTTGCCCCGGATGGCCGCGCGTTGGAGCGGACTGCCTCTGCCTCGCCGCCGGCGGAAAACGTTCTTGAGGCCCTCTCCAGGCCGCAGGACCGTCAAGGAACTGCTCAGGATGCCGAGTTGACCCTGTGGAAAGTTCCGAGGTCTAGGAAACCCGCTTCACTCCAGACGCTTCTATTCTTGGCAACCTGTGTGTCCATTGGCCGTCTCTCTCGCACGCCGTCCCATTCGCCATTATGTTGCCCCGAATTGCCACGCGCTGGAGCGGACCGCTTCTGCCTCGCCGCCGACGGAAAAACAGTCCATGCCGTCCCATTGGCACCAGGATTGTGGGGGCGGGGTGTCGCTCTGCATCGCCGATGCATCGGCGATGCGGTGCGCTCCTCCGACCCAATGTGCTCTGTCCCCATCTGGGCGGCCTCCCAGGCAACGCCCACCTCGCACCCTGAAGGCAAGAACTCTTGAGGCAAACGAGTCGCAGACGTCCTGGATCCAAAGACTTGCCCCACGAGCCGCTCTTCATCCAGAGTCGTTCGTTGACGGCCCCAGTCCCAGTACCTTCTTGCAGGGCCCCAGGGTCCCGAAAGCGGCGAGAAGAGAGCTCCAGCACTCCCATTCCTGGCCCCCATGTGACGCTTCAGTCGGGCCTGCCCCCGTACAGGCCGAGCTTGCACGAAAATGAAAAGCTGACCCAAAAATATCCGAACGCTGCTCAAAAGTGTTTCAAGAATTGCCCCCAGACTATTGATTAACTATCTTTTCAACACTTGAAATATTTGTTTTCAATAGTTCCTTGACTATTTTGATGCCTGTTTTTGAATATCCCCCCCCGTAGAGGGAGAGGCCCGACTGACCGTGACGCCCGCTCCTGGGGCTGCGCGCCCCCGCTGCACACCCCGCGGCAGAGAGAGAGAGTGCGCCTCGTGCTCGTGCCGCGGGGGGGTATCCTCAAGTCGGGCCTGTCACTCTCCAGGATCGGGGGAGCGTAAGACCCGGGACTCGGGTTCGCCATCGTTTTTTGACGACCGCGCCTCGGATTTTGACGAGGAGGAGTTTCGTGGGATGTCTGCAGCGGGAGGCCTCGTCAAAATGCAGGCTCGGCCTCGTCATTTTTTTGACGACCTCGTCGGGGATTTCCGAGTCTCCTCTACCCAGGTCTTACGTCCCTCTCCAGGAGGAATACTTCAAAATGGTCGAGAAACACTCCAGGGACGAGTCTTGAAGCATTCTGTGAGTATTCGGGGGCATTGCTTGTTTTTTTATTCTTCGCCCAAAACCCCCATGTAGGGGGACACACGCCCGACTTCAGGGTAGACATGGGGACGCCTGGCTCGTCTTTCCTTTTCAAGGCCATCGCTCTGGAGGCAGTTACGTCATGTGCCTGGAGGCCGCTTGTTCCTGATTCGCGTGCCAGGCGCGAGAGGGTGCAACGCGAAGGTGCAAAAAAGGGTCAGGCTTGACCGAAAGAACTCATGCATGAAAGGGACAGAAAGAGAGAACGAGAGAGAGCACCCCGCGGGCACCCTCTGGCGGCACCGGCAGGCCACCAAGCTGTGCTCCGACGACGGCCTTGGCTCCTCGCCGGACCAGGGGTCAAGCAGTGGCGAAGCGTCCTGGCTCGCCTATAGCCCTACCAAACAATGTTCTGAGAGCCTTTTGTGGTTTCCACGAAATGTTCTCAGAACATTTCTGGCGGAGTCTGTCTTGTTTGAACACATCGGGTTTATGTTCTAAGCACATTGTTTTTGTTCTTAGAACACTTCTGGATTCTAAGAACATTTCGTGGTAGGACTATGGGAATGCCGGGACGGTCGGTCCCTGCTCAAAGGGGGGGGGCCTGCTCCGGTGGGGCTCGAGCACCAAGGGGTCCGGCGTCGCCGATCGAGGGTCGGGGTTCGAGGCTCGTGGATCGAGGGTGGGTGCTCCAGGACCGACCGAGGGCCAGGGGCCGAGGATCCAGAGTCTAGGCCCGCTGCTCGAGTCAACTCGGGCCTGTCCCCCTACAGGGGGATTGTCGACGAAAAATGAAATGCACCCCAAAAATACTCCAAACATAGTCTGGGGACTATTGTTTGAGTATTGTTTCACCTTTTTGGCGCATTTTTTTTTTGTTTTCGTCGAAAATGCCCCTGTAGGGGGACACGCCCGACATGACGCTCGAGTCTCGAAGCTCTTGGGTCGAGTCGAGGGCCAAGGGTCCCGCGTGGAAGGCCGAGGGTCGAGGATCGAGGGTCGAGGCTCGAGATTCGAGCATCGAGGTTCGAGGATGAAGTCGGGCATGTCCCTCTACAGGGGGAACATTCAAAAGTAGTTTGAAAACATAGTCTGGGAACTATTTTTCAGAGCGTGACTTACCTACCCCGCTTTCGCTTCCACGCGCCTCCCCGCCGAGCGGCCTGACCAGCGCGGGCCGTAGTTTGGCATCGCTTGGTAGCTCTTGGAAGCGAGGGTGGTCAAAAGCGAGGTAGGTTCGTTCGCTGCCTAAGTAAGGCGGGCATGTCCCTCTGCAGGGGGAGCATACAAAAATAGTTTGAAAAAATAGTCTGGGAATATTTTTCCAACATTTGTTTACGATGTTGAAATATGTTTGGGGTATTTTGACTGCTTCGCCCCAATCCCCCCAGGCCCGACTTAATGCAAGGATCGACGTCGGGCATCGAGGTTCAAGGGTCGACGTCGAGATCAGCAAGAAACAACGGACAGCTCGCCCCTTGGCCCCCCGCCAGCCCCACGCCAAGGGGCGAGCATAAATACGGGCGCAGCACCGCGCTGGATGCGTAGCCTTCGGCTGGGCAAGGCAGGCCCCCCTGGCTTGAAACTGCCAGCGAGATATCCTTGCCGTCCTGCCTGAAAACTGCCAGCGCAATATCCTCACACCCCTCGCTCAAAACTTCCAGTAAATTATCCTCAGCCCCCTAGCTCAAAACTGCTAGCGAAGAATCCTCACCGCCCTCGCTTAAAACTGCCAGCGAAATATCCCCAGGCCCTGGCTTAAAACTGTCAGCGAAATATCTCCACAGTCCTCGCTTGAAACTGCCATCGAAGTATCCCCACACCCCTCGCTTAAAAGTGCCAGTGAATTATCCTCACCGACCTCGTTTAAAGTTGCCAGCGAAATATCCTCACACCCATCAGTCAAAACTGCAGGCGAACTATTATCGCCCCCTGACTTAAAACCGCTGGCAACATATCCTTACCGCCCTGACTTAAAACTGCCAGCGCGATGCTCTCACACACCTCGCTTACAACTACCAGCGAAGTCTCCTCGGTGCCCTGACTTAAACTGCCGGCGAAATATCTTCACACTTCTCACTAAATTTTGCCAGCGGATTATGCTCCCCCCCTTGTCTAAAATTGCCAGCGAAGTATTCTCACCGCGGTCGCTTAAAACTGCCACTGAAGTATCCCCACGCCCCTCGCTTCAAACTGCCAGCGAAGTATCCTCACGCCCCTGGCCTGAAACTGCCTGCGAAGTATTCTCCCCCCCCCCGAATTAAATCTGCCAGTGAAATATCCTCACCGCCCTCGCTTCAAACTGCCAGCAAAATATCCTCAGCATCCTGGCTTAAAGCGAAATATCCTCACCGCCTTGACTGAATACTGCCAGCGAAGTATCCCAACACCCCTCGCTTAAAAGCGCCCGTGAATTATTCTCACCGACCTCGCTTAAAGTTGTCAGCGAAAAATCCCTACCACCCTGGCCTCCCTGGCCTAAAGATGCCACCGACACATCCTCACCGCCCTGACGTAAAGCTGCCAGCGAAATATCCTCACCATCCTGTCCTAAAACTGCCAGCGACATATCCTCAATTCCCTACCGTACAACGGCCAGCGAAATACCCTCAACCCCGGAAATGCAACTGCCATCTATCGTCTGTGGTGTTTCAGTTGTAAGTCCTGCCAGTCAGTCAGTTAGTCAGTCAGTCAGAGTCTACTTTCCGCAAATCAAATTTCGGGCTGCGCCCGTAAACTAATACTACAAAATCAACATCAAGAGTCCAACATTAAGGCCCGAGTCTCGAGAATAGAAATTATCAAATCAATGCTAATGTTAAGTCGGGCGTGTCCCCCGACAGGAGATTTTCGACTATATATATATATATATGTATATCAACACATAATCAAAACATAATCCAAAACTAGTCTGGGGACTATGTGTTGGGTATATGTTTGGCCATCTGGGGGTACTTTCTTCGTATTTTCTATGTGTCGTCGAAATCCCCCTGTAGGGGGACACGCCCGACTTAATGCTAGTGATTCGAGGCTCGAGGATGGAGGGACAAGGATCGAGCGCCGAGCCTCGGGATTCGAGGGTCGAAGATCGAGGGTCGCGGATCGAGGATCGAGGGTCGCGGATCTTTGATCGAGGATCGAGGATCGAGGATCGGGGTTCGAGGATTCAGGATCGGGGTTCGAGGATCGAGGATCGAGGATCGGGGTTCGAGGATTGAGGATTCGAGGATCCAGGATCGAGGATCGGGGTTCGAGGATCGAGGATCGAGGATCGAGGATCGGGGTTCGAGGATCGAGGATTCGAGGATCGAGGATCGAGGATCGGGGTTCGAGGGTCGAGGATCGAGGATCGAGGATCGGGGTTCGAGGATCGAGGGCCGAGGATCGAGGATCGAGGATGCAGGTTCAGGATCGACCATCGAGGGTGTATGTGATCAGTCTGGTATTCTTGGTTTGTCTGGACGCCTCCAGGGGACTCCAGAGGCCAGAGGCGGTTGGGGACCCCTGGGAACCCTCTGCAGACCTGCAACATCTAAAGGACATCGTTCTGGAGGATGTCCCTCATTTTCGGCGTCCTGATGCCGTTGCTTGGTTCCTGGACCGTCAAGACGATTCGAGACCCAGATGACCACCGCGTGCTGTGGTACGCTGCTGAGCTGGCACTCGAATGTTGAGCACAGCGGTAAGGGTTCATGATCATATTGCGTGTCTTGTACTCAGAATTCGAGCTCTGTTGAGCCCTGTAGGCTTTAGCATAGGTTGGCATAGAACCACCACGAATTCTGCTTCTGATTTTCAAGCATCACTATCCTTCTCGTCCTCGTTCCCCCCTCCTCCCCCAGGCCACAGCCGCAGCGAAGAGAAGTGACGCCACCACCACCAGCTTGCCACTCCAGCGAGCAGCCCCACGCTGCTTACCCGAGTTGGAGATCGGAGATGCCTCGAGCGAAAGTGGGGCACCGCACTACTCGAATCGTGGTGGTGGTGGTGGTGGTGGTGGTGGTGGTGGTGGTGCCGTTTTCCCTGGAGACTGTCCGGAGGGCCGTGCACGACGATCCTGGATTCAGGCTGGCATCCGATCGCCCTGACGCTCGATCCTCGAGTCGTCCGTCGTAGAGGGGCCCTGGCCAGACTCCTCGTCCTCCTCCTCCGCCTCCTCCTCCATCTCCTCCAGTTTCGGCTCGCGAGGAGGAGGACTTCTTCTGGGTGCCTGCCTGGCAGGCGAGGGCGTCCCCCCCCCATCGCGCGCTGGGACCAGCGCCCACGGTGCTGCCGCGGGAGGCAGCGGCGCACCACAGGGCGCGTTCGCGCCGCGCGGAGGACCGCGCCCTCCTCCGCGCCTGGTCGGCAGATCATCGCCCGAGCTGTAGGAGCGCCTGTGGCGCGCGGCGCGGCGGCTCCAGGAGCGCCGCGGCTCGTTGCCAGGCAGGATGGCGCATGGGCCGCCCGAGCTGCGCGTGCTGCGGGGCCCCAGGATGCCGTTATGGGGCTGCTCGTGCGGCGAGGGCAACAATTGGGCATCGCGCATCACGTGCTCATGCGGGAGGTCGGCACCGCGGCGCGTGGTCGATGCTGCCAAGCTGGCGGATCAGAACCGTCGTGCCAAAAGGGTGAGCCCATCCTCCTGCACGAGCAGGTGCTGCCGCCTCAGGAAAGCTGCTGCGGAAGCCGGCCCCGTGGTCCAAGGAGTACAACGGCGGGCTGGAGGAGCAGCTGCGGGCGCTCACGAAACAGATGGCCAGCCTCGCGCATTGTCCGTCGTCGACGGCTACTGGTGGCCCAGCGGCAGGACGCGGCAGCATCAGGAAAGAGCACGATGATGGTGACAAGAACGCGTTCCACCAGAAGACGTTGCCGCAGGAGAAGATCAACTACCATGAGAAGGCCCTCAAGGACTGCAGCAAGGTGGAGGAGGACGGTGGGCCGCTCCATCTTCTCCACCAGAAGGCCTTGGAGGAGCTACGTGGACAAGCGCGTGCGCTGCGGCCCCCAGAAGCTCCGCACAAGGCGACGACAGAAGCTGGCGAAGTGCAGGCAGCAGTTCGACAGGTACGAAGCCGACCGCAAAGGCCTCCAGAAGCAGCTCGCCAGCATCATCCAGAATATCACCGAAAAGCAGGAGGCGATCACGGCGAAGAGGGCGGAAGTGGAGATTTTCAAGGTCGAGGCGGTTCGGCAGGGGCGCGCGCTGCTGGTGGCTCGCGGCGAGATGCCGACGGCGAAGGCGAAGCTGGCCAGCCTCACGGCGAACGACCTCATCGCCTTCGATATCGACGACGACGAGCTGCTGGTGCAAGCACCTGAAACTCAGGAAGCGCTGGCGGCTTTCAAGGCCAGTCCCCGCTTCGCCAGGATCCAGCAGGCCTTATGCAAGACGGTCGATGGGCATCTGGCATCGGTGGTCGCTTCAGTTCCTGTGCCTGATCGTGACGATGACGATGACAATGCCGACGAAGGAGGTGCGACCCCACCTGGCGGTCACACAGCGGCGGCGACGTCGGCGTGGTGCAGAGCACGCCCCCTAGCCGAGCTGACAAGCGAGACGCCAAGGCGGTCCAGCTGGTTGAGTTCGCCAAGGAGGATGTCGAGGCCCTCTGGGTTATCCTCAGCCAGCAAGCGCAGCAAGCCTCGGTGTGGACCAAAGTGCAGCGCCAGACCGCCATCGAGGGCGTCCAGGACACCAAGCACCGACGAACGGATGGAGGATCTGTTCGTGCTGGGGGATCGGGTGGGCGACGCGACGCCGTGCGTCAGCGGGATCTGCCATGGGCCCAAGTCCCCTTACGAAGGAGGTCCCCACCAGGCTCACGACGACGCACATTTTTGAGACATTCAATGCCCAACAGGGCACAAAGACTCTGCAGCGCAGGCTCCGCACCACGACTGCCGCGGTCATTCTGGCGCAGGAGATCGGCCGCAGCGCTGGCGACAGCGAGGCCCTCCGCAGTTGGGCGGCAGCAAATCGCTGGCACTGTCTCGTGGTTCCAGGGCAAGCAGCGAGAGGACATCTTCCCTCGGCAGGGCTCGCAGTCTTCGCCAGGGAAGGAGTCGGACTTCGAGGGCCGGCTTACCCAGCTGATGCCCCTCCGAGGCGCACTGGCGACATCGACTCCAAGGTGGCCCACGGCTCGGAGTCGGTTGCGGGCAGGGCGCAACGCGCAGTGGTGGAGTTGCCCAACTGGCCGCCCATCAACGTCTACAACCTCCTACCTCCATACGGCGGAAGGGGTGGGCGCCCGCAGCGCGAAGATCCTCATGACAAGTGGGCCGGCGATGGCAGGCCATATTCACCCGTGCATTGTCGGGGGGCGACTGGAACATGGAGGCCCAGGTGGTTTGTGATTCTACCATCCCGGCGCACGCGCAGCTTGAGCTTGCGGCCCCAAGGCGCAGTGCCTGCAGGGCGACGTCTACCTTGTTCACGCTGGACTACGTCGGGCTCTCGACGGGGGCTATGCGCACGTTGGCGCCATGCAGTGCGGATCTCAGCTGGGTCGCCAAACCTCATCGGCCAGTCCAACTGCGGTGCGTGGCAGAAGGCTCCAAGGTCAGGCATCTGACCTTCGTGGGAGGACCGCGGCTCACCTCCCAAGTCATCAACGGCCCGTTCTTACATGAGGACAGCTGGTCGATCGAGCGGAGCTTCGCGACGGAGGCCTCGAGGATGGCCAAGGAGGAGCAGGCTGCGGTGGCATGGCGCCTTCTCTCCAAAGCTTGGGGCCGGTGGGCGGCTCGTGCTGCGGAACGGACCGGGCGCCTCGCCAGCGCGGAAGTGCGCGCTCGCACATATGCGCGCGCTTCCAGCCGCAGTGGGTTGAGAAGGAGCACGAGAGCGTCGCGGAGACGGAGCTGCAGGCTATCGCTGACGGATGAACGCGGCTACAAGACCGTTTGCCAGGGGTGGTGATGGCGCGTGAAGGTGGTCGCAATGCAGCTCGGCATGAGCTTGTTTTTTTAATTGCTCGGACACGTGACGCCCGTCGCGGGCCCCCCCCCCCCCCCCTGTGACGGCAACGAGCGCACGGGGACGGGGGTGCGGACCCCCCTCCGCCCAGGCAGGCATGCTGCGACGCTCACATGTGCGCTCAGGTTCGAGGCGCTGAGGGCTCAACAGGTCCGAGCGCTTTTTGATCCAGGAAAACTAAGATCCACAAGCAGCTCACATAATGAAAGGGCCTCGGTTGGGCCCCGTGCGATCTTCTGGACTTTCGCTCCGCCGGTACCTTACAGGTGTACGCAAGCTTTGTGGTGTACGCTGGCGTTCTGGTGCAAGCACGGGGCGTTGAAACAGCAGCTGCGGTGCACGCGGGCGCCGTGGTGTGCACCAACAGTGAGATGTACAAGGGCGCTGTGGTGCACCCGCCTGTCATGATGTGCTCAGTCGCCGCGGTGCACACACATGCCATTTCTGCCGCAGTTGTGGTGTACAAAGGCGTCGCGGTGCACAGAGTCTGTGTAGTGTGCACAGGCACGGTCGGCGTTGACGACGACGACAGCGGCGACGACGACGACGACGACGACGAAGCCTACCGTGCCGACAGTTCTGCTGGCAATAAGTACCAGGGCCCGTGCGAGGGCCACGCCGCGCGTTACCGCTACCCCCAACTTGGGGCCGGACCCCCCCCCCCCCCCCGTAGCGGGCGTTGCCCCCCTCCCCCCCAAAAAAAAACAAGCTCCATCAAGTTTTCCAGGGCGAGGCGCCGGGCTTCCTCGGCAAGATCTACAGAGGCCAGAATCTGAGCGCGAGGCTGGATGCCTCCGTTCAGCAGGCAAGGAGGCTTCTCCAGCACTCCTGCGGCAAGAACGACCTCGCCAGGCATCTTGAGGGTTGTGACGAAGATATCAATTTCGCGATGCAGCAGGCCGACAAGGATTTCAACAGACGCTGGAAGGAGCGGTGCGATGGTGCGCTCGCGGGGGGAGCTGGGATGTTCCATCGACTCGCCGAGGTCCGCGAAGTTCAGGCGCCCGCGAAGGTCAATGACGTGGAGCGCGGCACCACTGGCTACCCGCGCTACGTCGTCAAGGACATGGAGGACAGGCACTCAAAGTTTTGGAGGGCTACGACGGAAGCCCCAAAGGCCTGGACCCCCGACCGTTCCACCTTGCAGCGACCGACTCGCGCTGCAGGCACTTTCAGCGTCGAGACCTCCAGCGGCCTTAATGGGTTCCACCCGACCCACCTCCAGCACCGCAGTGATGACGCGCTCGAGGGTCTGTGCGACATCGCGCTCGCACGTGAGGCACTCGGGCTCTCCCCATACGCAACTAACGTGGATGGTGATTCCGATGCCCCCCAAAGCGGCGGGAGGACACCGGCTGATCATATTGCGCCCGATGGCGCACCGAGCGTGGCAGCGCATGCGGAAGCCTGCCTTGCTTCAACTACAGCATTCCTTATGGCGACCGTACTGGGGAGCTGCGAAGAACAGGGGCGCGATCGACAGCGCGAGGGCCCAGGCCGCGGACGCGGGGCAGAATGCGGCAGGAGGACGCCACATTATCACCGTCATCGCCGACTGCAGCAAGTACGATGAGACGATATCCCTGGATGGGGCCCGCGACGCGCTCCTGCGCCTGGGGATGCCGACGCCGATCACCAGGGTCACTTACAACCAGTGGCGAGGACCACGCATCATTCGTCTTCGTCAGCATCGCGGCCCCCAATCTCGACACGCGCGAGATGGGCTACAAGCAGGTGGCGGCTACGCAGACGTGGTCATCAAGGCGCGCGGTGTGGGCCAGTATGACCTCTACGTGACGCCCCATCCCCGGGTCCGTTTCTCGTCCTACATCGATAACACCTCTCTCGGCCTCAACAGCGCCACTAAGGAGGGGGTGAAGGGGCAGGCGGTCCAGGCGGGTCAAGATTTCTTCAGTACAGCGCGACAGTTAGGTGCTCGCCACACTGACAAGCTTGCGGCGGTCGCCAGCTCTGCGGACATAGACAAGACTGTCGCGCAGCGACTGGGTCTCCCAGCAGATGTGCACCAACGGAAGGCCACCTACTTAGGCGCCGGGTTTTCGGGAGCCAGACCAAACAGGAGCACGGCCAGCAGCGACCTACGGTGTGGAGATCCATGATTTTTCAGATACGGAGCTGCACAGGCTACGCACCGACTTTGGGCGGTTTTGCAAGCCTTGCCATGGCGGCGTTTCAGCTACCATGAAGATGGCGCTCCTGGAAGATCCCACAGTAGCTACTGCCATGACACCTGCACTACAATGGTCGCGGATGATCTGGTTAGCGATATCACAGCCACAGCGTGCTCCAGTCCCCCTGGCCCCTCATACTACGTGGTGGCGACGGGCAGTCGACGAGCCAGGTTTACGCGGTGCTTGGGGACAAACACGAGGCCCCCTGCAGAGAGCAGCCCTGTCCATTGCAAGAGCGGGCTGGATCCCAATTTCAGGCACCCTGTGGCGTAACCGCCGTGGCGACGATGTTCACGTGGACCAACTTACGCCAGGGGTGCTTTTCATAATGTTGCAGGAAGGTGTTCAGTGTCAGCAAGATGGGCCTCGGCGAAGGCATGCGGGTGACCTTCTACCATCTCCTCCAAGAGCTAGGGGTGCACGGCCCACCAGAAGTGCCGCGTCATGAGTGTGGCGTGCAACGGAGTACGGACGCAGCTTCGCGCACATCAAGCGGGGTACCGCACCGAGGGGCTCTGCCGATGCGGAGCGCAGGACACCCTACTTCATCGCCTACTCGAATGTAATTGATCTGATGTTCTGCAGGCCCGAGAAGATGCTGAGGTCCTCTTCATCTTCTGGAGCAACTTCGGGAGCATGGAGATGATCCTGGGCGCATTCAAGGGGTATTCGCCTATCAGTTCTCCTCGGCCCCGCCTGGATCCAGGGCTGAATTGCGTCATCCTAGACAGCCGAGGTCTAGACAGCTGCGCCGCGCCAGAGTCAATGGTGCGGAGCTGCCTTCGCGATGATGATGATGTCAGCATGGAGGTTGCGATTGGCGGGTCTTGCACCAGGCCGCCTATGCGGGATTTCCAACGTGCAGGATGGAGCATTGCTGTCCTTGACCCGCGATCCAGCACCCCGCCCTGCTGTATCCACGCGCCTGTTCCAGCATCCCCGCCGCAGTCCTCGGTCATGGGAGAGCACCTCGGCGCGGCTTTCGTGTCCCAGATCGCCGGCCGCCCTTGCCAAGTCCTTGCCGACACCATGGGGGTCATCAAGCTGGGCAACAAGGGGAAGGGCCAGCAGCTCGCCAGCAAGACGCCCTACGCGAGCGCAGTTCGCGCAGTCGCACGAGGGTGTCCAGCGCATCCAGCATTGCCACCACGTGAAGGCGCGCACGTCGGGCACTGAAGAGGAGGCGATGGACTACGAGCAGCGTCGACTCACTGATGCCAACATAGTTCCGATGTAAGGGCAACGACGGCGACATCCATGCACCCGAGGCCTGATGATGACAGGACCGACGTCATGGAGACGGCCGTCATCAGGACTGGCAAAGTAGCACGACTGGTGGCGAACGTGACGCCGGTCTTCTATAAGGACGACCAGCTGAGATGGAGGAGGCGAACCCCTGCACATCGGCGCGCGGCTAGCACGCGCAAGGCTACCTGGCCTCAGTGGCATGATGGTGAGCTCGGAGTGCAGCGCCGTGCTTTCCTACAACTGCGTGTGCCAGGAGCCCCACTCCCACTGACGGGGTGCGGGGGCACCCGGAGCTTCCTCAAGGAGTTCCAGCTCAACCAGCTAGGTCACATGCTAGTGGCGGTCAACCAATGCGGGGCACGGCTTGGAGACAGCATCGAGAGTGTCAAGCCTGTCTTCCTCTGCGTGAGGTGTGGGGCCTGTGGCGCAGCAGCGGCGTGGTCTCAAACTGCGACTTCCCTGCGTGGCGGCCACAATCAAGGGCCTGGAGGTCTTGCTGAATCTCAAGAAGGGAGGAGGACCGCGCAGAAAATTGCAGAAGTTCATTGACTCCAACTCCCCGCTCAAGGGAGTCAGAATTTCACGGTCCCCAGCTGCGCCTACGCGAAGGTCGACATCCTCAAGGACGGCGGCGCGGTGCAAGAGGACCACCGCGCATTCGAGCACAGGATGGCGGCCTTGCTCCAGCGGGCACGTGAGCGAGAGAGAACTGCGCGCTGCACGCGAAGAAGGCAACACCATGCTCGGACATGCGCTGCGACGAGGAGATCTACCTGAACTGCGCAGGGCACCTGCAGGATCAGCACGCAAACACGTTCGCGAAGGCGATGGTGCCCCCCAGCGGAAGGCACTGGAGGAGACCCGCGCCCACCGCGCTCTGCGGCACAGCCTTGAGAGCCTACCGGAGGTGCAGCCACTGGGCAGCCAGCGCGATGACAACGGGGACCAGCGGAACTCCCTGGGCGGCTACCCCCTCGACAGGGCACCTCCAGCCAAGGGCGGACGCCGTCTGACGACGGCGACGGCGCCCTCCAGCGAGAGGCGCTGGAAGAGACGAGTGCCCACCACGCTCCGCGGCACAGCAGTGGTGGGGGCCTACCAGAGGTGCAGCCCATGGGCAGCCTGCGCGATGGCGACGGGGACTAGCGGGACCCCCTGGGCGACATACTCCCGCGACAGGGCACCTCCCAGCCAAGGGCGGGCGCCGTCTGACACAGGTGGGCTGGCGGATGCTGCCCTTGTTGGTGCCCCTTCCCCAAGGGGCGCGCCTTCTGGGGCTGCGGATCCCGTTCCCGCTGGCCGGGGGCGCCAACGCGACCGCCCACTTGGGCATGGCGCGCCTCTGGCCGCTGGCCGGGGGCGCCAACGCGACCGCCCACTTGGGCATGGCGCGCCTCTGGCCGAGAGGGCTGGAGGGCGCGGGGGGGCGCGGGAGATTCAGCCTCCGCCCCCCCACGCGCACACGCACACGCACACGCACACGCACACGCACACGCACACGCACACGCACACGCACGCACACGCACACGCACACGCACACGCACACGCACACGCACACGCACACGCACACGCACACGCACACGCACACGCACACGCACACGCACACGCACACGCACACGCACACGCACACGCACACGCACACGCACACGCACACACACGCACACGCACACGCACACGCACACGCACACGCACACGCACACGCACACGCACACGCACACGCACACGCACACGCACACGCACACGCACACGCACACGCACACGCACACGCACACGCACACGCACACGCACACGCACACGCACACGCACGCACACGCACGCACACGCGCACGCACACGCACACGCGCACACGCGCACACGCGCACACGCGCACACGCGCACACGCGCACACGCGCACACGCGCACACGCGCACACGCGCACACGCGCACACGCGCACACGCGCACACGCGCACACGCGCACACGCGCACACGCGCACACGCGCACACGCGCACACGCGCACACGCGCACACGCGCACACGCGCACACGCGCACACGCGCACACGCGCAGCACACGCGCACACGCGCACACACACACACACGCACACACGCACACACGCACACACGCACACACGCACACACGCACACACGCACACACGCACACACGCACACACGCACACACGCACACACGCACACACGCACACACGCACACACGCACACACGCACACACGCACACACGCACACACGCACACACGCGCACACGCACACACGCGCACACGCACACACATACACACACGCACCCACACCACCCCCACCCCCCACCACCGCTGGCGCAAGAGGCAATGCCGCAGCACCTGCGCACGCGAGAAGCCAGCCAACGACCAGGAGAAGCACTCCGAGCAGTGCCAGGGCAGGATCTCGCTGAGAGTCCTGGTGGATATCTGCGACTCGGTGGCGGAGAAGGAGTCCCAGCTGGCTTGATGCGAAGGCCCTGCGGCCTCAGGCCTTCCGTCAACGCGAGGAGAGGTTCGCGGAGAGTCAGAACCAGCGACGTGGAGGATGCTGGGTACCTGGGAACCCCAAGAGGGAATCGAAGACGCGGAGATGATGGAGCAGGCGCTCTGCCGAGCACTCATGAGGGGCTCGGGGAGGCACGCCAGAGCGGCCCCGAGTTCGGGCGGAGCTAGGCAGTTCGCGGCCCGAGCGGCAAGGCGAGGGGCGCTGTGACGAAGATGGAGCTGGCGCACTGCCGAACACTCAGGAGGGGCTCGGGGAGGCACGCCAGAGCAGGCCCCGAGTTCGGGCGAAGCCAGGGTGCTTGCGGCCCGAGCGGCAGTGCCAGGAACACAGTGGCGTGGGTGCGGCACCCACGTGCTCGGGGAGGCACGCCAGAGCAGGCCCCGAGTTCGGGCGAAGCCAGGGTGCTTGCGGCCCGAGCGGCAGTGCCAGGAACACAGTGGCGTGGGTGCGGCACCCACGTGCTCTGGAGGGGCCGCCTGCAGCGGGCCCACGGGGGCGGGGGGCGCAAGTGGTGTTTCCTGGCGAAATAATCAGGAAGAGCCACCCCGCCCCCCACCAGCGGCTGCGCAGGAGGCGAGAGGCCCCAGACGCCCAGATGGGCATTCGTTCGAGGTGGACTCCAGGGGGATGGAGTTCAAGAGGCTCGTCGCCATGGCGACGGGGAGCTTCAGGGCGAGGCTTTCGACGTCGTGGGGCCCCTCGGCGAGGTCGCGCCCCTCATCTGATGAGGGGGCTGGGCGGGTGCCGGACCCTCGACCTCTGAGGCCCGCGATATCGATATCCTCCATGTCCTCCGCTGCCGCCTTCGCCCCCGCCTCGAGGAGGAGGAGGAGGAGGAGGAGGAGGAGGAGGAGGAGGAGGAGGGGGGAGGAGGAGGGGGGGGAGGAGGCGGAG